ACCTTGGAATTAATTAAACAAGCCTAGCATGCTTCTATAAACTTAAATAATTATTGAGTACGCGAACGTACCTTAAATATGATCTCAAAATCGCCACGACTACACAAAATCTCTCACTTGGAAATCTCCTACAACCCAAAATTACAAAGAGACATTAATACCTATTCAATATAAATTTTCAGCAATATATACACTTTTTAAATCACTCATAAACCCTCTAAAACAAGGTGAAAATAAATTTTAAACCCTTACTTTTATTCCCAAATAATGGGTAATTAAAAATCCTTTCAAGAAACACAATTTCAACCTTTATATAAAAATTTCAGCTTTATAAAAACATGTAAAATTGTTGTAATTATGTTTAAAAACATCTAATTTATTAATTTCAATCACCTATAATCAATTTCCATCAACACACATTAATTTAGAAACCCAGGGATTTCAATTGGGGTTTTTTAATTCAAAAACTAAATCTGAAAATTATATACATAATAATTATAATCAAAGATCATAAAAATCATCACACAACCCAAAAACAATAATTGAATTAGAGCTAGAATAATTTTAAAACAAAAGAAGAGTTTTTTTTTCTTTTTTTAAAAAACACACGCACAACAAGGGAGAGGGGAGAGTGGTCGGCGCCACCTCCCTGCGACTGCTGCTGCTGCCGGCCCTGTGCTAGCGGCGGTCGGCTGTGGTGGTGGTGCTGGCAGCTGGCCACGGTGGTGGTGGTGGTGTGTGTGTGTGGTGATGTGTGTAAATTAAAAAGGGGAGGGGGGAAATTAAAGGAGAGAGAAAATAAGAGGAGATGGAGAGAGATAGAGAGAGAGTTTACCTTTGGGTATTCTCCACCTTGGGCAAGATCTAACTTGCTCATAAGATGGGTATTTATACCCCCTCTCTAAAACCCTCCTAAGGTTAAATTCCCTTTCTACCGTTAATGATACCTTCTCGCATTCAAACTAGTCATTTGACTTTCTTTAAATACCATTGACTTTAAATTTCCTTTTATAAAATAATATGCCCCAAAGTTTCTAAATTATAAAATAAAATATTTCCAAAACAATCAAATAAATATAAATGTTTAATTGAAATAATTCTTTTTAAATTAATAAAATACCATAAATAGTTCATTTCAAATTATTTAAATGCTTCCTAAAATAATGATTTAAATTAAAATACGTATAAAAATATGGGGTATTACAGGTATGTTCTTCGAGAAGTTAGAGGCACACGGGAACGTTAGCGTCCTAAAAGTATTTATGCATCCAGACGGCAAGTTACCGAATCACTATTGGGCAATGCCCTTCAGTGTTGCTGGGAAGCATCTACACCAGGTGGCATCATCCAACCCCTGTAAGTACATGAGCTTCGTGTAGGCCATCAGGTGGTCTTCTAGGTTGGTGCTGCCATCATCGGCATCAACCAAGACATTCTTAACCTTGGCCGGTTGTGCCGCCTCGTTTATTTCCTTGGAGAACGTAGAGGGTTATTCTCCAAGTTTGAGCAGATGTAGCTGCCAGTCCAGGGGTTGGACTTGATATGCCGCCTGACCTTCGAAGAGGGCAAGTTGCTGATGAGGTTGGGCAAACGGCCCGTATGTTTGATGGGGCACATACGGCACTGAGCCTATCATTTGAGGAGCTGTATTGACGGACTGGCCGCCTGACAGGTGCTCCTTTGCAGATTAGGAATACCTCATCGAGGTATTCCTTAATATGTCTGGCATTGTCGGCGTTGAAGCCATGTCATACAATTGGTTGTTCCTTTTGTGCTCGATGAAATTCCGAGCATCAGCGTAAGTCTTTTTGCTTTCATCCGGTTGCACATGTCGGATGGGCTTTCTCTGGTTTTCCTCTTGGAGATGGAGTTTACTTTAGTCAATTAGGGGCCAGTCCCCCTCCTTATGCTTGGGATGCGGAGTGGGCGGCCTGTTCTTGACGGGCTTTGTCTTACCAGAGTGAGTCTTGATGAGGTCTCTCGTCTCACCTTTGAAGTTCATCATAAACTTGATAAACTCCTCATGAGTGATGTGACAGTCTGTCCTATAGTTTGAGGCTGGTCGACAGTCTTGCTCGGACCCGCCTGGTTATCGCCCCGCATCCTGTTATCTTTTTGGCGGATGCACTTAGAGATGAGGTATCCATCTTTGGCCGTGTGAATTTCGACCTCTGGCCGAATCTGTATCCTGGTCCGAATAGACCTCTGCTGACAGATGCTTTTCCTCAGGAGGCGGTATAGTCTATTGAGAAACCATCTTAGAGGTACTCTCCCAACAGATGGCGCCAAATGTTTTCGGGTTTTTTATGTGTCCTACGGGAGAGTGACGTCACCAAGACTGGATCCTCTTTGCCTGTACCTGCAAGCAAACAGAAGCTCTGGTTGTACAAAGTTCCGCCTCCAACGATCAAGTTAGTAAGGGTCGAAGTTGAGAAATGTGCGGAAAAGTAAAGTGAATCTTCTCGAATCCCGAGATCTGGAGATTTCTCTGTTGTAAGAGAATAATCAGTGATGTAATAAAATGAACATGCCCCCAAAATGGGGTAAATGTCCCTATTTATAGGGCATTGGGAATCAGCGTCCCTTTTCTAGGTTATTAAACGAGGTAAACGGGCTGCACAGTTATTACAATGCCTCGGGATTTGGGCCTTTGAAGGCCGCCATTTCCCTAATGATAGGGGATGCCACATGTCAGCTATTGATAGGTCTTCTTTGGACCTCTCTTGGGGTGACACGTGTCACCTTCTGATTGGACCACGTGGCCTGAGTATTTTTTACCTTAACCAATAAGCAAAAAAGAAGAAGATTGAACAAGGCTAAGTATATACAGTGTATGTTTGTTTTTGTGTATAAATATTGATGGTTGGTGCAGCTAGCTTAGATGCACTAGGATGCATTTAAGAATTTGCCAGAATTTGAATATAGGTCTATATTTCAATTTGGTTTTCAGTTTTTCAAATGAAAAATTTGTCAATTGCAGCCATTTAAAATTTGTATTTTGCAAATTGCAGCCATTTAAATTTTTTTTGCAAATTGCAGCCTAAAATTACTAATAAATTATAAATTGCAACCCAATTCAATTTTTTCATGGATTTGTGTGCTGAAAAATATTCCGTCAAGGTTTTAAGGGCCATTGTATTTCTTAAGGGTTCAAATTGAGCTCGGAATTGGCAAAAAATTAATGTAAGTGTCTCGTTTTCAAGGCAAAAATAGTTGCACACAAATTGATACATTCTTTATACGCAAAACAAGGCACTTACATTAATTTTTTTTGCCAATTCTGAGCTTAATTGGGATCCTTAAGATCTAAAATGGCCCCTAAAATCTTGACGGAACATTTTTCGCGACGCAAATCGATGAAAAAATTGAATTGAGTTGCAATTTACAATTTGTTAGTACTTTTGGCTGCAATTTGCAATTTTTTTTTTTAAATGGCTGCAATTTGTAAAATGTAAACTTTAAATGGTTGCAATTGACAAATTTTCCTTTTCAAATTCTAAAATCGAAACCAAACCGATAAAAAAGAAAAACTTTGAAGAAGTGAGAATGGAGGGCTAAAAATGGAAAAAGCAATGATTGTGCATTAAAAAAGGTGGAGCCCACGAAAGGGTATCCCAACCTAAAGCTTCCAAGTGGTGAGGTCATTTGGCGTAGCTTTGGGTGACTCTCATTTTCATGACTCATTCACTTTTTTTCTTAATTATTATTTTTTATAATAAAATAAAATTACTTTTTTTTTTCTCCAAACTTAAACTACATCATCTAATAATTACAAAGCATCATAGAAAATTATTACTATTATTAGTATACTCTATAGTGTACGAGTGTATCCATACATCATCTAATAATTACAAAGCATCATAGAAAATTATTACTATTATTAGTATACTCTATAGTGTACGAGTGTATCCATCCCAAATTACTTGTAACGTACTCTCTTCGCTCCCTTCGATCCTTTACACAATTACACTATTTTTATGTATTTGTGTCTCTACAAAATTACTTTTAATAAATCTTAATTTTGTATTTGTAAAAATTATTAAACTTTGCAATTAATATTTTTAAACAATATGTTTAAATGAAAAACTAACTAAGAATATGTTCAATTGAATTTAACTTTAGAGGATTATATTTTTATTTTACATTAATGACAATTTTAATAATTTATGTTCAAAAATGATGATTTTGACTCCAAAGAGGGAAATGGAGCTAACAATTAAGGATAGAAGATATACTTATTTTTGGTCTATACATCCTATTTTAGTTGTGTTATTTTTGATGCACAAGTGATTTTATATTAACATCGTGTTATCATTTGTTAGTAAAGTTTTACATTACTAATACGGTTTTATCATTATATAACTTTAGTGAGATATTTTTTTTATTGGTCCAACCCTTTAATGTGATCAAGTGATTTTATAATGATGAAACGATCTTATTTACGGAGTATAAAAGGTATACTCTCTTTGAATTTTATTATTTGCTCTACTTTCTTTTTACGACTGTATTTTATTATTTGCTCTATTTTTTTTTTGAAACCTTTCACAATATTTTACTAATGTTTTCTCTCCTAGTGAATTTTATTACGAGTACTTTATACTATTTCTCCCAAAATGTAGAATTAGGTTACAATATTATACTTCCTCTGTTTTTTTTTAGTTGCAACACTTCTCTTTTTACGCTTGTCGATGCATGACTTTTCAATAGTTAATATCTTTAATTACCAATATGTAAAATTATAAACATTTGATATTAAAATTGTATAAATCAAGACGAATCTAACAAGATTCTGCATGGCTATATTTTTCTTAACTATAAATCATCAAAGCTAGTTAAATTGAAACTCATAAATAGTGTAACTACTATATAAAAAACCGGTGGAAGTATTAATATTAATAAATTACAAAACAATTTTGGCGTCTGACTTCACTAACAGTTCGTCTGCAAATGTAAACAAAGAATCAATAATTAAAGAATGCCCACCCAAATAAAATCAAACAAGAGGCGCAAAATTAATTTAATTATAAAAATAAAACCCCCCTTTTTTTTCAATATTTTATTTACTTTTTTTTATTATCGAAAGAATAAAGGAAAGATTACCCATTTTAGTTTGTTTTTCTGGGTTTTTTTTCTAAGCCAACCTCTCATTCTCTCTCCTCTTCTTTGCCAAGCAAATTTCCAGGTTTGCAAGAACAAACCCATTTCCCTTTTTTTAATTTTTTTTTGATAAAAATCATAATTTCATGCATTTTAATTTTATGCCCTTGTTCAAATTTCACAATTTTGAACTGATTGATTGCGTTTTGAATCGATTGATTGCGTTAGCAAATGGGTTTTTTTTGTTGAGTTCATCAGATTTCTTTATTTATTTATTTTGATTCTTTTTTAATGTTTTTTATTATTTCCTGATGAGATTCTCGTTTTGGGTATTTCAGGGTGATGCTGGATCTTTGAGAATTTGCTGTACAATCAGATAATTGAAGAGATGATGCTCTAGGGTTTTGCTTATATGGTACTGTTCAGTTGAGATCCTCTGGTGCAATTTGATTTTGGGTTTGCTCAATTTTTCATTTGGTTTGATGGATTTTTATTGTTTTTACGGTGTGATGTTGCTACTGTCCAAGTTTTTTCTGATTATCTGAAGTAAAGGGTGTTTGAGGATTTGCATCTTTTTTCATTTGATTGCGTTAATCTTAGTGATCTTCAATAGGGATGTCATAGTTCTGAGTATTCGTTTTTCGATTCCGGTTTCTATTTCAGTTGGTTGTAACTCGGAGTATTCGTTTTCGACTTCAATTGGTTCAAGTGAAGGGAAAGTAGAAGCTGATAAATTAGATTGCTTTAACAAAGTGTTGGGAATTTGGGATTCAGGAAGATAATTTCCGGGTGTTTTTGTGATTGCTGAATGTTTTGTTATAGTTTTGATATGGTGGCTCTGTTTCATTGTTAACAACAGACTGTAGTTGATCAGTCTTTTGGGTGGTCTCAAAGGTTAGTTTTTTCCCGTATAAGATGGAAAGTGACATGGGAAGGGAAGAGTTGAGATTGAAGGTTGAAATTAAAGAGGAGGAGCAGATGCCTTCTGAGATGGAAATTGATTACGGTGGAACTGAGAGTCCCAAGTTTGAAATTGAAAGCAAAATTTCTGAGCTAGGTGAGGGAAGTAATGTTGTGTTTGCGAGGGAAGGGCCGCTATATATGGAGGACACTGGAATGTCCAAGGTTGGATGCTATGGTTCTAAGAAGCAGAAATCGAAGGCGGTGACGACAAGTTCTCAGGTGGGAAAGAAAGGTAATGTAGGAAATGAGAAGAAGCTCAGTAGACAAGATAGGATTGAGCTGGGAAAACTTTTTCAAAGTGCTGTGAGTTCTCATGATTGGGACTTGGCAGAAAGTTTGATTCTGTTTGCTGATCCACTAACTCTTAATGATTTCCTTTGCATCTCATTGGATTCGATATGGTTTCTTACTACACATGAGGAGTTACATGGTATAACGGGACTAGTGAAGAAGATAATAGCTAATGGAGCTTATGACTTCACAAGAGCAGCTCTTCGAACTTCGTTTCTCGCATCTTGTGTCTCTGCATGTCAGAGCCGAACAATGGACCTAGCAGATACAGTGACTGTGATGGCCCAAAGGTAGTTTCATTTGATTGATATTATTGTTTATAAGGTGTAGAATAGACTTGTAGTTGTTGTAGACAATAGGAGCTACACGTTTTTGTCATTTGGTGAAAAGGAAAGGATTCATGGTGTTTTTGTCTATCCACTTATTGAGCATAACACTTCATTTCTTATTGTTGAGGTGATATCTGGTACAGTAATAGTTATGCACTTAAAGAATTAAGCTCTTGCAATTGTGGTCTTGTAATATGAATTATTATTATATAACCAAAGTGTTCATTCTCTCCCCTCCCATAGCTTGGTATTATGAGGTCCTTCCAGGTATTAGATAAGATGATATCTCTCTTTTGCCACCTTAGCATCTGATTTTGCATCTTATTGCTACACCTCAGTAGGCATCTAATTTATTTCCTCAATCTGTGCAATAAAACTTGGTTAGGTTGCATGAGCGACTTCAGGAATGCAATGGTGATGATGTTTTGAAGGCAGAGGCTGGTGCTAAGGTCCAAAAGTTCACTGAATGGGCTTTGAAATGCATTGGTTTTCATTCTCGGTGTCATGAGAACAAAGAGAAAATGCATCGTGATTCTGCTGCTGAGATACAGCTTCAATTATCTGCCTTTAAGATATTTCTTGATCTTGCTGGAAGCAATCTCACTGGAAAGGACTTCACTGAGGCCTTTGATGCTGCTTGCTTCCCTCTTACTTTGTTTAGTAGTTCATTTGATCCTGGATGGTCTTGTGGAGCATCAGCTACTGCTATACAAGGGCTCCTTGGTATGCTGGTCGAGGGTGGTGCTGATAATGTAAACCAGTGTTTTCTTGAAGCCTCACGTTTTGGCAGCACTGAGTTAGTGCGCATTTTGTTGCAGGTATTGCCTTTTGTCTTTTGTTTACAGTAATATATCTTTTGTTGCCTGAATGCCATTTGTTGTTTGTTGTGCACAAAATTAAACCTAAGTAGGTTTTTTTTTTTTTTTTTTTTTTTTTTTTTTTTTTGTGGGTGGGGGAACATAGCTATCGTGTGACTTCCTCCTTTATTTGAAATGTATACCGTTATTAATTTGATTTCTGAAGTCTTACATGGCCAGTATTGAAGTTTTTAAGAGATCCACTAGTGTTGAAAGAAAAGTCCTATCTTGTCTAGATGAGCACTCAAACATTAGGCTTGCCTAAAACAGCATCTTTATCCGAAGTTGGACAAAGAATTAAGTTAAATATCAAGTCATCAAACTATTTTCTTGAATTAGTATTTCATGTGCTGTTTTCAAAGGTCACAAGGGCAAAGGTGGATCTTGTTATATGCTTATTTTCTACGCTTAAATGAACAAATACTGACCACTAAATCCTTTTAAGTTAGGGAGTAATTTTAGCTTGAGGGGGGGAAAAAAAAACAACTAAGCTTGAACTACAGTTTAGTGGTGGCGTGGTGCCTAGGATTTTACTATATATTCCTTGTGTTTGTATCCAATTATCCATCAGTAGCTTGATTCTAGCTGTGTAACAATTGTAATGCACTTGCAGCATTGCCAAATGCTAACTTTTACTATCCAATGTGTTACATCTGATTATACAGTGCACTTGCAGCATTGCCAAATGCTAATAACTATCCAATGTGTTCTGATCATTGGATCTCTGTCACTTTCTCACTGCCATTAAGAACTATGTATTGTCACCTTAGCTGTACACCTTTTGTAGCTCTGAAGCAAATCACTATCTTCAATGTAGTAATTGTTATTCATGGCTTAAGGCTTCTTAGATGTAACAATCTTTGCTGTCCTAGTGCTACACTGGACATGTGGCAGTGTAAATTCTCAAAATAATATGTGCTTGCTGTGGTGTTGCTATCATTAACTTTCCACATTGCTAACCCCCCCTGCTGTGGCCCTTTCCTTTTAGATTCAATTTACAACGGTTCTTTTACTAGAACTGATTGATCACCACAGCTGTGACAGCACTACCAAGATACCATATTACACTCGCTGATTGCACCATTGTTGGTTTGTTTGTTTGTTTGGCATGACAAAAATTGACACCATGACTTTTATTTTTTTTTAATTCTTCTCTCTAGAAGGCTTTGTTTCTTTCCATGCCTCTTTATTAGATTGAATTTTGGTTTTCTGATATCTCTGTGGCTTTGTGCTAAAGTCACAGAGAGATTGTACATATTATGAGTGCCACAACTTGTCCTCCTTAATGTGCTCTTCACACTTTTGCCGTTCAGTTTCTTGTTGTTTTAATCATTGATACACGGAATGTGGGACGACGGCGCGTTCTGCGAACCGGGACGCGTGTCCCGAAACGCGGAACTTACTCGTTCCGGTTTGTGGTGGTTCGTGATCTGGTTCGTGTTTGATAGAGTACCCATTTATAGGCGAAAGAATCTTCTATTTTCTTGAGTTTTTTAGATTTAATTAAAGCTTCAAGTTCCATTAATGGAGGAAAATGAAGACAGAAGTGAGTAGAAGGAAGGTCATTGGCGGCAGTAAATGAGTAATATAGCCTTAACCTATTTTTAAAACAAAATGGTGGACCCCTCCCTTTTTATCTTTTCTTTTTATTATTACTCCAAGTTTTTACTCCATGTACAGCTGTTTATCTTTTCTTTTTATTATTATTATTTTATTTTTAGTGCCTAGTTGTTAGTTAATTACTAATAGCAGTGTACAGTAACTTTTTATTTATTTTTTGGCTAATAGCCGATTACGGAGTACTTTCTAATTTAAGTCTAAGAAACTTAAATGTAATAAAAAAAAGAAAATTCTAATTAAATTTTTTTTCGAGAACTAGAGTCATACGTTCCGGGAACACTTTAGCCTACGTTCCCCGTTCCCGTTACCATCCCACATTCCAAAACGTCCCACGTACCGTGTAACGTTGGTTTTAATCCTAGGCTGAGCTAGGAGGGATTATGATTTGTGAGTAACAATGCTTGAGTAGGCATATACGGTTAAAAGATTTTTGAGTAGACAGCAAGTAGTTTGAGGCGGAAGGTTAATCGCTATTGGAAGTAGGCGGATTTTGAAGGGATGATCTATGAGGAGCAAGGCTTGAGTACAGAAATTTGGTATGAAGGATATTAGAGCAGAGAGCAAGAAGTTTATATGGGGCATGGAAGGTTATTACTATCAGCACCAGAATTTTCTAGAAGGGTTAGTGATCAGGTAGAAGGCTCATGGTACGAAAGAGATCAATGAGTTTGGTTAAGGCGGGGAAAGGTTATCTTTGTGAGAGATCAGACCAATGGAGGAAAAATGTAGAAATTAAAGAAAAGTGTATGATATTCTATCAGGGTGCGCAGGATATCAACTTGAAATATGTATCTGTTTTTTCAAGTTAGTTCTTAGAAAAATTCCCTAGTATGTTAATGCCTCTTACTCAAAGTGCCATAACCTAAGCTTTAGTGCTTTACTCCTGTTATTTTGTTGGACCTTCACTGTTTAAGGGGATTTTATGTACTACTGCTGTAGGGAACTTTCAAAATGATACTTGCATTTCTAAGCTATTGTCTGCACAACACTGATTTAAGTTGAATCTGCTGTCAAAATGTAATCCAAAAGATTTCAAATCTGTGTTCAATTCATAGGTTGACTAAGGCTCAAAAAATAATTTTCAGTATAAACCAATCCTAATAAGTCATAACTAGTCTTCTATTAGTTAAGATTAGTTTTAATTAGTATAAGTAAGTTTCAATTAGTAAAAATCAGTTTAATAGAAGAAAAGTTATAGTTCAGTTAGTATCAGGTGGTAAAAATCAGTTTAAATGAGCGAAGATTAAAAATTAGTAAAACTATTAATTTCATTGTATAAAAACACTAAACAGGAAAATCTAAATCAGTAATAATTTTGGCTTAATACATAAAATAATTGTGCCCTGTTGAACTTACTTTCTCGAGAAACATGTTAATAATTTCTTTCTCATGATGATAAAGTTCCATGTATATGATCGCGTTTTACTGATGAAACTTTTTTTTTTTGTTATAGCAATGGATCTAAGTTGAAACATCCATTCTATGGTTTTAGTTATTTGTTTTTTAAGGGTAAAAGGGAGTTATGGTATGGGTGCAGTTTGGTTTATTTTAACACGTGTCTAAAGCTAGTCCCGGACCCTAAATGTCTCATTGTTGAGTTTATAATTTTAAGTGATTTTCATATCCTGAATTTCTGTATCTTTTCCTGGTGACTATATTATAAATGTTGCAATCTGTGATTTTTTTATTCTTTCTTAAATTTATTACTTTCTGAATGTTTTGCGGGAGATTTAAGAACATCTTCATAGGTTTTGGGAATCTCAGAAACATGTGGATTATTATGGATAAAATGTGGACCATCTGCTCTTAAATAGATCTACAATTATAAAGCTCCATCAAAGGACAGTTTTGATCATTCTCACGATTGTTAACTTGCACAGGAAATTTGTACATGCGCAGACAATCTATATATTTGGATCTGTTATCCATATATGAGGATCTATATGCTGTTGAATAAAAACTCGAGTCAAAATTCTTGGATGAAAAGCTTACCTGTTACTGTTAGTGGCTTGATTCCTGAAATCTGCAAGACAGGAGTATATTAGTACTGTTTGTCTAAATGCTATGTTTCTGTGATGCCGAATCTGGGACTTCAATGCTATAGTCCATACCGGAATCATGTTGCCTAGTAATTAATCACAGATATTAAATCTATTAATTATGGAAAAAAAAGAGGAACAAAAACCTGTGAAGTGTGGGCTGGCGTCCGGCAAGGATGAGGTGTGAAGGGTGGAAGCTATCTGATATGGTATCTGTGTATATATATCTTGATAAGGAGAAGAGGGATACAGACTTGTGAAGTGAGGGCCGGCGGAGATGAGGGGATAAGGGTTGATTAAATTTATACTGAAGCCCTATTGCGTGGTGATTTATTACCTTATAAGAGTGTTAATTGGGATTCCACGTGAAATCCACCAATAGCTTTTTCTCTCAACTTTAATGCATAGAGAAAATCAGAAGTATTGAGTAGATTAGAAGGGTGATAAATGTCGTTATGCAAGTGTTGATTGGGCATGTTATTGTGAACTTGTTGGCTAGGGATGGACTGCCTCTGGCTTGCTTAGGCTTTTAGGCAGTGTTATGAGTATATATTTGGGCTTAATGTCAATGGGCTGCAAGGCAATTTTGGGGTCTTAATTTTTATTGCCTCCCACATGTAAGAGCCAAGTTGCAATCTCTTGTTGGATTTTCATGCCCAGATGAGGAAGAAAATTAGAAAGCTGAAATCTTATGAAGGCTGGTGCAATTTGTGTGTTTTTATGTACTTTCTGTTTCCGCTAGGCAGGCTTAGGTTTTAACTCCTTGCCCATCTTTATTCCATATCCTTCTGAGATTGTTCATATGTAAAATGTAATATAAAGTTCCTTCCCTACCCCCCTTTTGCCTGTTTCTCTTTGTCAGCTAAAACTCAGTATTTTAGGTCTTTTGTTGGGGAGAGTTTATACTTTTATATCATGTCAGTCATAGGGCTATGTATTCTGGTCCAATTGTCTGCTACACCTTAAAAAAAAAACTGTCTGCTACAATAGAATGTTTACAAGTCTCTTAGTCAACATTAAATCATATATTTGGTGACTAGATAAGCTTATTCTGTCCAGTCTCTTTCAGAGTCTGGGTGCTTAGAATTAATTTCTCTTACAGTGGTAGTTGCTTCATTTTAGTAGTTTTTTTAGGTTAGGCAGTTAGGGTCTTTCATTGGATGCTGTATTGGAATCCCACTGTTCAAAGGCTCTTTTATTTCACTTACAGACTTTATTTTGTTGACTATTGGTCTATTACTTGACAGAAGCTGTGGCAATGGCTTAATTACTTTAAATGACGTATTGGGAGTTAATGGCTTTCCTTTTCCGGTTAATGGGTATCATGTATTGAATTTGTAATTCTCATTCACAGTTTTTTGGCATGAGATAGATCACATTTTGGTTTATACTAACGATTAGCGAAAGCTTGAATCTTGCTTATTGTCCCATATATGCAGTTTCGTCAACTAACTACATGGAATTACTTGTCAAATTAATCAAAATGTCATAATATATGATTTTTTTAAATAAATATTGCTCTTTAGTTATGTATTTTAAATACGTAGTAACATGTGGCTTATTTTTGTCCTCCTAGATTGCCCAGCGTAACAGCTTGGATGTGGACGTTGATCTGGCCTTGGGTTTTGCTTCTCATTATGGCAAGATCAACACAATGGAGTGTTTGGTAGAAGAAGGTAATGCCATGGCGTTTTTGGGACCTCTAATGCGAGCAGCCGAGAGGGGGTGTTTGCCAGTTGTCCAGTGGTTTGTTGGTAGAGGTTGCCAAGACATGGAACTATGTCTTGCACTGACCGCTGCCACCTCAAGCAGCCAAGTCGAGGTTGCTTCTTACCTTCTACCCCAAGTACCACAGCATGTTCTTACCGCACTCAGCATTGAAATCCTCAAAGCAGCTGGAGAGAGAAGTGGTGGGTCCCTTGAGGGAGTCGCTTTTCTTCTCCGCTCAGACTTTTTAGGAGATCCAACAGGCACGTACGCTGTTGCAGATAGCATTGCTCGGTCAGAGGACGATTCAGTTGCTCCTGAGCTTCGTACATTTCTCCGGGAGCAGTGGTCGGAGGATGCCTTCACGGATGGCTTGTTACAAGGCCAAGAACATTTTGTTAACATGGTTAGGATTTTAAACCGAGGAGAATCTCCTCTTTGCCTTGGAGATCTTCCTCCACCGTTGAGGGTGGCAATCGCCTACTTGCCAGTGTATAGAGAGAGTGTGAAGGCAGGTGGGTGTTTGTTATCTCAAAAGCTGAGAGGTCAACTTGTGGAAGCCGTCAGGAGGCTTGGAGGTGGGGTACTTGGAGATGCAAGCCAATGTCATGAGCTTTTAGCCGTCTTAGAGCACCATCTTCGACCATTTTTGCCCAGCATGTATTCAACAACCTAAGCATAAAATGCCATCAGCAACCGCAACTTGCAGGTTCGCAGATGCTGCCTTTCTTTTCTCCTTTTTAACTTCATACCATAGGAAAAATAATTAAGATCACATTGTTAGCAAGGGTTTTGAGGCTGCTGCCGCTGACATATAGCTAGCTTCCAAGAGTCTCTCTCCCTCACTCATTCGCACTTCCTCTCGGTATGTCAACTTATCATAATGTTGGTCCATGTGCATTCTAAGATGTACAATGTAAAATAGAAGAAAATCACATGTACTGTAGAAAGAGACAGAACGGGTCGGTCTCGACATCTGGGGGTGGTGGTATCCATGTATATTTTAGCTGCTATGCTTTTGTGAGGGATTGAGGGTCCATTTAATGGCTGTACTAGTCTGTTTCACTTCAACTTGGTTATAAGTCAGGTGCCTGGAATTGTCACCTTGCTTTTTCAATGAGCTTCAATTTTTAGTCTGAAATTATTATTCTTGTTGCACATGCTTATGCCTGGACTTATTTGTTTTTTATTTAGAAATTGGAATAATTATTGGTAAATAATTTGATGATTATTGATGCATAATACTCGTGATATGGGCCATATTCTTGTCTCTTTCTTTTTGTTGGTGGGCCGGTGGGGGTGCCGTGGTGTGGCCGTGTGGGGTCTTTATGTTACACACTTACCTAAATTTTTTTCAGGTTTCTTCTTATTTTTCTATGTTGTTTTGATTTATGCCTTTAACAACTCTAAAGTTAAGATTTTAAAAGTCCTACAATATACAAGTAAAAATTCGGGTGTTCGGGTCGGGTTTGATGAGTTTGGGTCGCGGGTCTGGTTTAAATTTAGTTCATGCTAATTATCATTTCCATACGAGTCAAAATTAGAATTGGGTTGGTTTCGGGTTGTGTCGAGTTGACACCTCTATATACAAGTACTTCGCAACAAGTTGTATAATGAACTTAAAATTATGTGTTTATACACAATTGTAATATAGTTATGTTTCGTCAAAAAAAATACTCATTATGTTTATTTTAAACCTAATGATAGAGATATTGAAACTATTTTCGGTCTTTAAAATGTGTATTATTATCCATTTAATTCAAACCCTACTAATCCCTCTTAGAGATGTCAATTCGGATAACCGGATGGAGTTTGGGTCAATCTATTCGGGTCGGGTCTATTCAAGTCAGATATGTTCGGGTTAAAATTATTCCTTTAACTCGGATCGGGTCGGGTCAAATTCGGGTCATGGTCTATCGAGTCCGGGTCGGAAATGGGTCGGGTCAACTCCAGATCGGTTCATATTTGGTTCGGATAAATTCGAATTGGGTTCAAAACTAGTTTGATCGGGTTAATTTCGGGTCGGATGAATTTGGGTCGTGTTGATTTCGGTTTGGATGATTTTGGTTTGGTCAAGTTCAGTTTGATTAAGATAAAGTTGATTCAGTATTTGGTCAATTTCGATTCAAATCCTTTCCGTGTTTGTCTAGATTTTGGTCGAGTTGACCAAATTCAATATACAAATAAGGTCATTTTTAAACTAGAATAATTATTGAATTTTTACCTTATTATTGGGCCGATATCAAGCCATTCATGTGTCATTTCTAATATTGCGTGGTTAATTATTACGAAATGCGAAGAATTAGTTTTCTCATTCAATCAATTTTTGTGCAATATTTATCTTGGAGCCAAATTTAAATTGAATAATGATCGATGACTTATCATACCTACGTACATAAGTGAGACGATTAGTAACGAACTAGTGATAGACTGATAGATTGGTAGATGATAGTCACATATGGTGATATACAAAAAAGAATGTCCTCTTTTTAAGGTACTACTCTTCAATTGTTTAATCTCATGAGGCTACGAGTACTATTAGTTTGCTTTATTACTAATTCAATTTGTATAAGATATTTGTTAGAGTTTTAGACTTTCTAACTTAATAATTACTCCCTATGTCCCATAATACAAGACACAGTCAACATTGCACACATGTCAGTGCACTAGTTTGACTTTATTTTTATATAATTAAATATTAATGAAAATTATTTTAAAATATATATATTTAGACTTTATATTATAACCTATCTAACAACATATTTTATGATAAAACATGTTTTTATTATGTTAGTAAAATATTATGGTCAAAGTTAATGCATGAATAGTGAAAAAAGTCCAACGTCTCATGTATTATGGGATGGAGGAAGTATTTGTAAATATATATTAGTATAAGAGCTTGAAAAAAAAAGGTTAATAATAAGTTAGGTTTAAAATTATGGCCGGGTTAAAATCGAATCGGGTTATAATCGGATCGGTTTAAAATCGGGTCGGGTTAATATCAGTTCAGGTTAAATCGGTTATTTGTTGGGTCATTTTCGGATCGGGTTGAGTTCAAGTCTGGTCAAATCAGTTCGGTTTGAGTTCAAGTCGGGTCATATCGAGTTCGGGTTGAGTTCAAGTCGGTCAAATCGGTGCCGGAGTTAAGTTCAGATCGGGTTAAATTCGGATTCGGGTTAAGTTCAGGTCTGTTACAGATCGGATTTGGGTCCTGAATTTCTCGGGTCAAATCGAATCGGTTACAGTTCGAAACGGATGGTTTTTCCGGATCGGTTCGATTTTGACACCTCTACTCCCTCTTGTCCGGATTAGTTGCTCAAAATTCAATATTCGTATAATAATACTTGCAAATATATATTTTAGATCCATTACTGTGCTGATGATGGTGTATATATTATGTCTAGTGGTGGGTAATTCCTATTCGGTTGACTCGATTTGATTTGAACAACACATTTATGTTTCGGGTACTTCAGGTTGGATTTAAATCATTTTAACTAGTGAATATCTCGGGCGATGTATCGAGTAACTTTTTATAATCTATGTCGGTAGTAATTGTTTGATAATTTCAACAAATACATACCTTTACAAATATGGAATGAAATAATAGCTTATATTAATATGCTCTTTATAATAAATTATGATGATAGAAGTTGTTTATAATACTCGTTTCTTATTAATAAAAATGTGTTGAATGTCTAACCATTTGCCTAAATATGTTAATATATAAAGAAATAATTTTAAGAATTTATTATTATTATTATTATTATTATTATTATTATTTATTTTGAACTATTAATATTGATGTTATGTTGGAATAATGGAATGGTGGTTAAATAAGCATTTTTCATTTCAAATATTGCGTGTTCAATACCTTTGACCATCCCTAATTTAGAAGATTAAATTATAATAAATAACCTCTAGAGTTTCTTAGAAACCCTAAAGTTTAGATTCATAATCACAATAATCCATTTGAATCAATGGCTCACACCTTTCATCTAATCTATATAATCTTGTCCTTAAAGCAACCCTCCCCTTCACATGATCACTAGCTACCTACCTCTTTCCACCCCCACCGTCCCAACATGGCAACACCCCATTCCCTTCCTTCCCTCACACTACTACTTGCCCACTCCTTCCCACCACCCCTCCCCCTCTAACCAATGATCCCCCTTGTCCCAAGTAGTTCCTCCCTAACCATAACCACTCGATGTGACGTAATTATTCTAACGACAAACCTCGAACCTCCCGTAATAGTCGACCGTGCTATTGGGCGGTTAAGTTTAGCATAACATAATGTCAAGTTCATCAGTTCATGTCAATTGTTTTTGTAATATTTGTTTCTTAATATATGATTGCAGTATTTTGACTAGACATGTTTTTCGATTCACATTTTCAAATATAGTCACTTTGTATTTGAAAAATTAAACGTTTCGAATTTTTGCAATATTGATCTAATTTGCTTTGTCTAATGTTTATGATTTATACTTAAGAACAAATATAGTCTTGTGGGTAGTTGTTGGAATCGTCTCAATGTATAGTTTATTAATATTCAATTTATTATATATATTTGTAATAAACCTTGGTCAAAGTGTTGAGGAACAATGTAAAAACTCAAAGTTATGCTTCACATACGAGTAGTTATATAATAAGAGTCATTGATGGTTGAAGCACAGGATCGGTTGATATACTTTATCACGCCCCCTCACATGAAAACCCATTGGGCTTGAAATATGGATGTAGTATGGGCCCCACCATACCCAGCATTTAATATTTCACTTTGAAAGGATGGGTGAATGACATTTAAACCCGTGACCTTTGTGTCACGCTAGCTCTTATACTACATTAGTGAACCAACTCAGCCAAAAGTTTAAACTGATGGTTGAAGCACAGGATCGGTTTATATACTCTATCAAAGCATTCTCCTAAAAGTATAAAACTAAGTCGTTTGTTATTATACTCGCATTAGCTTAACAATAATGTCATCGTATTATATTAGCTTAAGGATAATGTCATACTTGTAGTAGATATTTGGTAAATCTCATAGCCACCGGAAATCCCTCTACACTTACAACACCACCAACCAAGTGATGTTTGTTAGATCGAGGCCTAGCTAAGTCAAACATAACGCACAATGACGAGATTACGTAAATCATAGAGGGATTTGTTAAATCATTAAGTTTAATTAAAATGTTTAGGGATAATGATACATTTAAAATACCATAAAGATTTGATTGATTCGGATCAATCATGATTCGGATCAATCAAGATTTGGTTAAGCCAAAATATAATCAACCAATAACATGTACTTTTCCTTTAGAGTAGGGTAATATTCCCAATGCATGAAAGGATACAACATCATATATGATAGGATATCACCTACGATCTGATTCGATTTGATCTACCCACTTGTCAATGCGCCAATTTTCTCAAACAAATCATTTTTTTTTTTTTTTTTTTTTTTTTATTTTATGATTGACTCACTACTTTATTTTTATTTTTCATACTACATTCATCACCAAATGTCCATACTCCTGGGTTCCAAAAAAAAAAAAAATGTCCATACTCCTACTTCTAGGCTCATGGCTTCCGTCCCTTCAGATCTGCAACCCTTGTATTTGCAGACTTTTAAGGGTAGGCATTTATAGTTATGTAAGAATGACACTGGGTCGAGTTGGCCTGTGACATGGGAAGTTGGACACAGGTGTGCATGCATAGCATATTAGCATAACATGTTATCGTGTTAGGTTATAATTTTATTTTTTTTACTTTGGAAAAAGTAAATATTGACACATCAAAGTTCGACACAAAAAGATACATTATAATATGTCATTTTGTATGGAGTATTTGGTTTGTGCATGTAAGTACACAACATTTGTGTGAGGTGGTGAGGGTTTAAGTCGTGCCTAGACCGTCCTTTTAAAAATTTAAGCACGACACGTAAATAGTAGGCTCGCCTATGGGTTGCGAAGCACAAGAGTTGGCACAAGCTTGTCACAACCCACACCTATATTTATCATACATTATAATCCTTAGATCATGATACATACTCATCTAAATTACTACCTCCATTTCACATTATGTAAAACAATTGGGTATTTTTTTGAGATGTAAAAAATTCAATTATTGCACATAATGTGAAACGGAGGTAGTAAGGTCTTGTTCACTTCATCTTATTTTTGCTGAATTTAAATTATTTTTATTGAATTATAATTATTATTGCTGAACTTATGTTATTTTAACTAAATTGAAAATAATTTTAATGAATTGGAATTATTTTTGCTGAATTGAAATTATTTTTACTTGTTTCCTGTTATATTTCTTCCTTAAAGTTACTGACTTTTACATATTGAAATGAAATAATTTTTACTGAATTGAACTTATTTTAATTAAACTAAAATTATTTTTGCTGAACAGAAATCATTTTTATTGAATATTATTTTTTTAAGATGAAGTGAACATGGCCTAATTTGAATAAAAATGTAGTTTAAAACTTAATTTTTTTTTTTTTTTTTATAGAAGCTCAAACATGAGGACATACGGTTCATAATCTTTGAATTATAAACTTTAATTTCAGGGATAAAAGAGGTTAACGTCATAAACAACGATGTTGATGGAGGATTCGAAGAGCTTCAATGGAGAAATTGAAGAGCTTCAACGGAGGAGGGACACCCCTATCATTTTTGGGGTTAACCATACCCTTTACTTCTCCATTTTTACCTAGTGTTTTCGTTAAATTCAGTAACAAAAGCCGTCAAAATATGGTTGTGGACATGTTGGTTCAAATGTAGCTTCAATGGAGGAGGAAAGCACAAGCAGGTACAATGGAGGAGGGAAGCAACTTCATGGTTAACGAAGTTTGACAGCGGACTTGTTTGATAAACAACTTTTTCTATAGCTCTTGACTTTTGGATGTGGTCAAACAGCCAGAATATATGTTTTGTTCTTTGGCTTTTTGTTGGCTAAAAAGCCAGTTTTTTTCGCAAAAAAACAAAAGCTAGTAAGACTAGCTTTTCGCGTAGGCGGTTGGCTTTTAATGTTTACAATTATATTTCTATCACAACAGCTAACTTTCCAAATATATAAATTTAAAAGGCAACAATTAAATAACCAATATAAAAAAACTAATACAAATAACTGATACTTACAACAACAAAATTGCCCAACAAGACCAGCGTGAGAGTACAAAATAGAAGAAAATAATATAATATTCCGTTTACATTTCTATCTAATGGAAAATTTTACATGTCGTTTGATAAATTCTAGACGGTACAGTAGAAAGCAAAAAGTTTCCATTGCCTATTGTGACCATATGATACTTACATTACATGCCCATAAATTACCTTTCTTGTAGTTTCTCAAAATCAAATGGTTTGACTTTATGTTTTCTATAAGAACATTGCACTAATGTCTATATCCATAGCTTTTGACCAAATCTTATGAATATGAAGAATAATACAAATCTTAAACCATGGTTCCTTTTCCATCTTTAGAAGCAAACAGGCTGGTTACTTCCATTTATGACGATAGTTAGATTGCATAACTTTTAATTATTTCAAGTAATGCATAGATTCCATTAATTAGAGGGGGTGCCCTCATAATGTACAACAATTATGAAGCATGGTCGGTTCCTTTTCCTTGTTTAGAAGAAACAAACCAGGTTGCTAATTATTTTTTAATTTCCACTTGCTATTTTAAGGCTAATAACATAACATTATTAACACCATGTTGGATCTATGCCACTATTATTCTACAAGTGAATGTGGTAGTGGATGCTACAAACAAAATAATGTTAAGAGGGGTCAAACATTAATGTTATGTTCTTAAATAAAAAAATGTGGACCGAAAAAGAAAAAAAAAAAAAAAAAACTAAAGCGTAATGTCCTTATCTTGCAGAGCACTTGGCCAATTATTAATCTAACTAGATGGAAGCCCGTGCGATGATTTCATCTAAAATTTTAAATTATTTGATTTATTGCATTTAATAATTTCAGACAAAATTACAAAAGTTTAATATTTTATTTATTTTTTACTATAATTTTAATGAATTTATTAAATATAAATAAATTGTAAATATGATATTTTTTTCATTATATAAGATCTTTAATGTGAAATGATAAATTTTTAATAATTTAAATCTTAAATCATTATTCATTGTTTTACCATATCTTTTATTTCGATAGAATCGCTGACCTCGTCCACAACCAACATACTACATAAATGGATAAATTGAACCGTGTCGCGATATAAAATCAAATCTATGGATTGGAATTTTTTCATCGTCTCCAAAAATAACCAAAGCCATCCATATATTAAGTATACAACATCTAATCGTATGTCATTACATAAACAAATAATCGTTAAGTATCCTAAATAAATACAATGTAACTAATAATTACAGATCTAAATTTAAACATAAGATTTTAAAAATTACCCGCACATTGATGACCTAAAACTAACACAAAATTACTAACACAAAATTCACTTGATGGGGTTTTGTATTGATACAAAATTTTATTTGTGTCGTATTTTGTGTTAGATTTGCATGTAAAAAAACGTTTAGTAAATAAAACATAAACATATAATCGTTGAGTATCCTAAATAAATACAATGTAAGTAATAATTAGAAATACTATTTTAAACATAGGATTTTAAAAATTAAACTAAAAATTACCCGGCTATTGATGACCAAAAATTAATACAAAATTACTAACACATAATTCACTTAATGGGGTTTTTTATTGATACGAAATTTTGTTTGTGTCGTATGATGTGTCAATTTATAATGGTAGGTATCACAAATTTTAATTTAATTATAATTAACGAACAATTTGTATTTCTTATCATAAATACTATTAAAATTTATCTTATAATGATAGGTATCAAACTTTATTATAAGCGTTTATCATTTGAATATTTTTTTAGCATATTTTTTTTAGATTCCTTATACTCGTAGTATTGAATTAATAAATTTATCTTTTTCAATATTTTTACTTTTTTTTTCATTAAAATAATTTAATTTAATTTGTGGATTATAATCTACGTGGCATTAAAATTTTAGATATATCAAATCTAATTCGTTACTTTTATCTAGGTGGGGATATAATTTTTTAATTCAAAAATAAAATACAAATCTTTCTTCTTATTGGTCGAAATAAGTATATTTCTTACGTGGCGCTCCGAATGCTCTCCAAAAATGCCTACTTTATATATATAATATATATATATATATATTAGATTTTTGCGTTAATTATCTTGTTCTACTATGGAGTACATTGAGGATCACATTTCACACATCCACACCCTTACAAACCAACCCTAAAATATGGGTAATGCACTTGTTTATGAGGATGCCCAGATTTATCTCTGGACATTGCATTTTGTAAATAAATCAATAACTTTATTCAGTCATCATTAACTGTGAGAGCCCGCTTTTAATAAAAAAGTTGTTAATTTATTTATAAAAATATCATTTAATAACAAAAATAGTTTATCTCATAGATAAATAAACTTGTTTTTTCTTGCTTGTTTATTTTAGCCTATTTCTTGCTTGTTTATTGCTTGATTAGACATGGACCAGGCTGACATGAAATGACCCCCTCGTAACATTGTAACTACCTTGACACGACAAGTACGGTGGATAGGTCATACATGAACATCATTTTGAAAACTTGGTATGAACCCAACATGAGTAAGATGAGTCAATTAACATTTCAATTCGCTTATTTTCCACCGATTCGAAAGAAAAATCTAAAGATAGTTAAAGGGGCTCGATGGTTTAGCACAAAACAACACATTGACCAGGTCATGCATCAAGCATTGTTTATGAAACATGACCTCAATGGCGCAATGGCACAACTTTAATTGCTACATTTTAAACGTGATCCAATAGAGCACCAGGCCCGCTGACACAACATGTAGGCTAGCATGGGCCGAGGCCGGGGCCGCCTGGTGCCTACCTCTACCCGCAATTGCCGTGTTTATGTCCGAGAAATCCAACTTCTCAAATGTTATGTAAAAACGAAAATCAAAAACACGAAAATCAAAAACCTATAGTATTTCTTTCTAGGTGTTATAAACATCAATTGTGTAATTTGAACATTTACCAAATCAATCAAGTAATTTTCAACTATATATTGTATGCCGTATCACATTAATCATAATGCAACTAATATTAAGCACATTCAGTAATTCACCATATAAAATGGTTGATATGAAAGGCCTTTATATGATAAATTCTTCTTACATGTATCTTTACACCAAATTCTCAAGTGAAAATTGAATTTGCAACCTATCTCTCCTCCCTCCAACGATTAGCAAGGCGAAAAAGAGATACAAAGTTAAACTATAGAGACAAGGACTAACAAGGATCAAGCTAAACACAACTCTAAATTTACATATAAGTCAAGTTTTTAATATTAGAAGGCATAAATGCTAAGATCATAATAAGCAGTCCAAGAATGCCAATAGGTACTAGTAGTAGCAAGAACGGCGGTGGAGGCAATGGTGGTAGTATCAACGGAAGAATCAACAACGAGGCGGTGAGGCAGACGAGTAGAAACATTGATTCTAACCCGAAATAGCCCCCTCGCAATGCCTTCTTCCCGGTCCCTTGCGAAAACGACCGATGATAATCTCTATCCCTCCCCATCATTCCTGCATTCATAGGAGTACTATATGTGTTCCTCATGTTTGCGTTACTTGTTTCCCTCATTGTAGAAGTTACATTTTTTCTAACTCTAGCTTCCATTACTACTGATTCGGTACAATGATTTCGCAATGCAAACAATTTTTTTTGGCAATTTCCAATCTGTTTCTCCAAGTTCTCTAATCATTTAATCTAAACCCTGAATTATTTCTCACAATATATGCCAGATTTGATCAAGAACCAATTTGTAATGCTGAGAACACACCAAACAGATCAAATTCCCAAATTTTAGTTCTGAACTTTCAATTGCAAATGTGAACCAGATTTTTGATCAAGAACTCAATAGAATATCTGACTGATTCTCTTCAATTTGAGAAGATATCAATGTTGAACCAAGAACTCAAATATTGATGATTTTGCAAATGTACCTCTGCAATTCCAAATGGTAGATAAAGTTAGCTACGAATACCCAGAATCATACAAAGAACAGTAGAATTAACATTCATACACCAGCATTTTCAAACAAATTAATCTGTCTTAATCAGACATTAACAGCTTATCATATACTTGTAATTATATAAAGATTAAGAGCAATCACACCAAATGTTTCAATATCAATCAAATCTTAATAAAAATTCACAAACCCATCACTGAAAATACTAACAAAAACAAACCCATACAACAAAATCATCCAAATCACCTTAATATTCAAAAGAATCCAAGAAATTGAAAATAGGGTTTAATTAAGTACCTGTGATTAAGTAGAAACAGAATTTCCTGAGATTGAACAAGGCAACTATAGCATCACAACCCAGAAACCCTTTTTTTTTCCTCCCAAAATTAAATTTGATAAATTCAATAAAAATCCAAATCAAAATCCCAAACAAAGAAGAAAAGAACCAATTTAATCAACCCCAGAAACAAAAGGGGTTAAAGTTTGAATCTTTGATGAATTAATGAAGTGGGTATTTGAGAAATTTGAAGAAAGAATGAAAAGAATAAGAGAAAAATGAAAGCATAAAAGAGTTGTATATATATACAAAGTATATAATTATAGAAATATAAATGAAAGAGTAAAAATGGTGGGTTTGTTTAAGAAAAAGGGAAGGTTGGATACTTGGATGCAGTGAACTTCCCCAAAAAAGTGGGGTTGCTGACAAAAATTGAAATCACAACTTGATTATTTTGGAAATTTGAAAGGGGTGATGTTTTCAAAGGTTCTTCACCCCTAGACAAAAACTTACCACCTTCATGTTTTCTTTTTTGATTAAATCTTTTTAATATTAATAATACTTGTAGTAGCAGTATTATTAGACTATTTATGATTTTTTTGTTACTCGGTTTTATAGAGAAGAGGATAAGTCAATTCAAATTCCACTTTTATTCCGACAACTGATAATAATATACTACTCCACTGTTATAATTCTATGGGCTGCTAATTCAATTCAACATCAAAGTATGATGAGGAGTAAACTATTGGAATTTGACTAGTTGTGCCAAAATAGTTGTTTTGGTTCAAGTCATTCGTAGATCGGGTTAAATTTTAATTTGGGTTGATAAGTTCTTATATTATAATCCAAGATTTTTGTTAAAGGGTGATTTCTTGAGTCAAGGTAATAGTTAATTTGTCATGTCAATTTCATGTTTCAAGTCTCGTTTTTGTGAGTGATTTCCATGACAATTACTAAAAGAAGTCAAATTTCCACAATTACGCTATTATTTATCAAAATTTCCTACATAACGTCCACGTCATTTTTTTTTCAGTCCAGAACAAAACCGCTATTTCATAAAATTGCTAATTGAAATAGCGGTTTTACTTTATATAAAAACCACAACTTTTCATATGGTGGATTTTACTTAGATAAACCGCTAATTGATCTAGTGAAAAGGGAAAAAATATCTTTTAACTATGAGGATGAAAGTTTAATACATCATTAGGGGCAATTTGGGGGAGGAGATTCCCCTACCATTCCCCTCGCTCTTTCAACTTATCAAGCCTCTATGTCCAATTTTTTTATTAGTTAAGTGTATATAATTAAACTGATGTATGTACGTAACATACAAAAAGACTCAAAAGCGAGTTAGCTAAGTTGGTTTTTTTATTGTTAAAAAAAAAAGTTGATTTTATTTTTTTTTATTTTTTTATTTTTTATTTTTTATGAATACTTATTGTGGTGAGGGTTCAAGTCCAATGTCTAGCTTGTTTTACATTTTTTTTAACAAGAGATTTCAACGCACGCGATGCGCGCGGTATGTTTAGACCTTTGAGAAGAATTATTTCTGATGACTTTTTAAGCCCTCACTACAAGAAAATTATCTTTTTGTAGCGATTATTTTAACATTTGGTATTAATTGTAATTGCTACGTATTGTGTGCGGTATGGTTAGCCATTTGAGAAGAATTATTACCAATGACCTTTTAAGCCCTCACTACAAGAAAATTACTTTTTCGTAGGGATTATTTTAACATTTGGTATCGATTATAATTGCTATATAAAAAAATCCCAACGAATGGTCATTCGATATAACATCCGCCGTTACCATAGCCTTTAGTAGTGTTTTTCACTTTTGCTGGGGTTGTCCTCATTAATCGAAACAGAAAACTAGATCTAATCATAGTGATTATAATCGCTACAAATGTTGAACTCATTTTCTACAAAAATAAAAAAAATAAAAATTAAAAAATAAAATAAAAATCCCTACATATGATCTAGACAAGATGTGAACATGCAACCTCAAGTTCTAATACTAAATGTTTTTCCAATAAGCTATGACATATTTTATATTATCTTTGTCAAACGAAATTTTAAATTTTAGTGTAAAAAAGGCTTTTCGTATCGATTTTTGGGTTTTAGTGGCGATTGTAAACGATACAATTTTCCATAATTTTATAAATGTACAGAAAAGATGAGTATATATTATTATGTTTTTTGTATCAATTTCATATGTTTACTATGTCGATTGTAAAATGATATGGATTCCTATACTATTTCACAAACATATGTGCATATTGTAGCGAATGTACAATTGCTACGAATTGAAATAATCGCTACGAAAATACAATTTTCTTAGCTTGTAGTGCCTATGCATTTTATTTTATTATAATTCTTTGCATATATACACAATAAATGTGTTGGATGTTATGGGCTATGCAAGGTTTGAAACACTAGTAGAGCTAATTAGATTTAGCTAGGAAAAGTTAAAAAAAAACTTAAGTTCTAGAAATATAAATTTCTAATAAATTTAAGTACTTATTGAGATAAATTGAATAAATTAAACAAGATATCACACAATTATTGTAATTCTTGTACTCCATGTATATTAAAATTAATTTAGAATACTTTGTATTAAATAGTGTTTAAATTTCAAATAGGAAAAAATCAAAAAAATGGAGAGTAAAAGATGGATTTTTTATAGGAAAAATTTTCATGATTAATTCCAAGTTTGCCTCATCCGCCAAAATTAATCCCAACTTTATACTCCTTCCGCTCATAACACTCCCACCACATTTTTAGAGATATAAATGTTCATGCACTATTTATAAGAGTTTTGTTAAATTTTTTATAAGGTAGAGATAGAGATAGAGATTACCTTTTTTTTTTCCTCTTCGTATTGTTTAATTTTAAGACTGTTTTTGTTCTCTATAATTATACGACCCATCCTATGCAAAATTTCTTGATCCGTGCTTGCCGCTAATTCGGATCGGTTTGTCTCGTGAGGGGATTTTGGTCTAGTAGGCCCCTCATTTTACCAGTCCAAAAAAATTAAAATATTGAACACAATCACACTTAGCTATTCTAAGAGCATCTTTATTCATGAACAAAAAAAAAAATTTGTTCATGTTACTATTCACAAAAAAAAAAATACTTTTTCTCTCATGTACCTAAATCAAACAAATAATTTCCAACATCCTCCTCTTAACCATGAACCAAAAAAAAATTGTTCATGTAACTTTTTATCCACCCCACCTCAATTTATCTTTTATTAAAAATTAAAATAGATACATAATTAATAATATATTAATCTCATGTGTCAGACAAACAATTTTCATTTCCAAACCATTCATACTTGTTCATCCCACTATTTACCATCACCTAATTTTTTTAACATTATTTTATTCAAATAGTAACTCAAACAATTTTATTTATTCATGGTTAAGGTTACTCTAAGTAAGATTGGGGAAGACGGACACAAGTTTGAGATTCACGATATACAAAGTATTAGTGCTTAAGTGTGGGCAAATTCCTTACTTTCCCCTCCTATTATTATATTTATCATTGGCCTATTTAGATGAGTTGATTGATATATGAGAGGAATGGATTCAGTAAAATTATGATCTAACTTTCAGTTTATCAATCGAGCATTTTAAATGACACAAATAAAAAGAACGTTAGGATTAAGATCTAACTAGGGGAGACAAATGATTGAATTTCAATTTAAAATTGTAAAGTTCAAACAAAACTATATTGTTTTGACAGAGAAAACAAGTAAGAGCAAAGTTGTTCATTGAATTTGAAGAGGGCCATCTTTGTGAACGGATGGTTTATGGAAAAAGATGGGCGTGAACAGTGGCGGACCTAGGAATTTTCGTCCGGTGAGTCAAAATTGATAATAAAACATATAATAAATTTTTTTTACCAAACAATCAAATAATAATACTAAAAATACAACCAAATATTCAAAAAGTATAAAATACAACCAAATGTTCAAATAAAGTTATTTTTGGGTAGACTAGTGAGTGATATGACTCACCAGGACAACATCCAAATTCGCCCGTGGGTGTGTATTAGCCCGTAAGCTATGAACCAAAATTTATTAAATAAGCCGTGAAATTTAAATGAAAACTATGAACTTACATTTATTAATATATAATCCATGAAAATTAAAAAGAAAAAAAAAACACATGGTGAAGACACTTCACGTTGAAAAGCCTGAACTTCCAATGACTAGTCCTTTCCAAATGTGAAAGCTTTCTAAATCTAAATTTTAAGCTTTTCCTCCCATACTTGAAGCATTATCCTGCTTCCCTCCCTTATAACCAACCAAACCCTTATTATCTTTTCCAAAGCTGGCCGTGTATCCACATCAAGGCCATCAACCTTCCTATTCCAACGCTTCTATAATTCCCCATCAAGGTTATGACACTAGACCTCACCTACATCCGGGGCTCAATGGCAGCCATCCTTTTGAGTCCTCCAAGACTCAACTTGCCCCCAAAACATCTACTTCCATTTCCGTCAGTTTCGTAACCCGGTCTAACGCCGATAGGGTTCTTCTCTTTACAGAAGCACGAGAGGAAAGCTTTCATGACTGTCTTCCTCTTTTTCTTTCATTGTGACTACTGACATCTTGGACCGTCCGAAAGGGTGATGGTTTTTTTTTAAAAATAAATTGATTTTTTTTTTTTTGCCTCACTGGGGAGTCATATGACTCACCATGACATTAACTAGGTCCGCCAATGGGCGTGAATACGACGCATTTTAAAAAAACTCGATCTCTTTACCCCTTTTGTCTTAACATTCTTTCTTTGCGTTTGTTTTAAATGCATGTACGCTTTTTTTATTTATTGAATGTTGCTTAGACTTTTTTTTTGAAGAATGACAATCTTGTACTGCTATCTCCATTTTTCTACTACGTATATCGGACTATGACAATTTATGTTAGCCAACTTCTAATTTTTTTGGGATTAATACTTTGTTGTTGTTTTAAAATTTCGTGTTTTTGGATCAAGATTTCGCATTAAATATAATAGGAGATGGAACCAATAAAGATTTATTTTTTGATTTATCTATATTGGCTGCATGTTAGGTTAAATGATGTAGCTACTTCCTCCATTTTACATAGTATAAAAAGAAAGATAGTGGCACTAATAATTTATTGAAAAGTTTTTTTGTTTTTTTGACAAGTATAATTTATTGAAAAGTAAAGGACGTGAGAAGAGAGAAATAATACAAGTGACAAGATAAATTGTAGTTGTACTGTATGTGTGACGATCGTGAGAGGAAAAAAGATGTACCTCGTATGTATTAGGTCAGATACAATTATTGACACCATTGACACTAATCAAGGTGCGAGAAGGTGACAAAGCTGCATCAATTTTAAGGAATTTTTATCGTAGTTTTTTCTTTGCAACTCTATTCCTTTTATAAGCCTTAATCCTTTCCCATATTTTTAAGTCCGAACTTTTTAATCATAAACTTAACTGATTTAAATTATCTAGAATTTTTTAAAAGCTACTTCGTATATAATTGTGAACTGAACTTGAATAATATAACTTATGTGAACTTTTACTAAACTATGGTTCTATATTCTCTTTACACTATTTTCATATATTTCGTGTGAAATTAGTTCAATTAGAACTAAACATTTCAATTAATTATATTCTGCACCAATAAAGGATATTTAAGTTCAATATATGACTACTACAACAAATTCTCTAATATATTCTATATTAAGTTAAACACAATTTTAGATGATACTAAAACCAAAATTTCATATTGCATATCAATTAAAAATTTAATGATCTCCATATTATTTTACACTTTTACATCAACAAATTAGATCGCGATTAAACAAATCCACTATTTGCTAACTTTTTTTTTTTAGACACCGGAAAAAGCAACATTAGCTAACTCTTGCATCATACATACATGCATTTCTGAACATAGAAATGGTATTGATCTATAATTCCTTGAGACGATCCATCTCTTGATTACTCCGTAGTAGACTTATATTTTGCAAAGTACACGTAACACATGCGAAATGGTCCTCATATCCCATTATTGGACACCCAACAACGTACCAAGAAAGGAAATAAACATGGATGGAGATGTATCAAAAATGATGCATTTGATCAATTGAAAAATAAGGTGAAGAAACTTCCTAGTTGTTGTTACTTGCTAACATAGGTCACTTTAGAATTTTCGACGTTAGAAAAAGAATTAGGAAAGATTGAGAGCACTCGTACAATTTTGGTACACCACTTTGGAATCTTCCTTTGTAATTTGGACTGCATGCACCTTTATCTATTACCTAATCGTGTTGGTACAGTTTAATGCATGCTTAAATCATGATAAAGGAGTTTCTTTCTTTTTATAAAAGAACAAAAACTATGCATAGAAATTATTTTGTAAACGTATGTTAGGTTCATTCCTAGAATTCCTTCCTAACAAAAATCTCTTTTGTTGGTGTATGATGAATTCAACTCATGTTGGTCTTACTATAAAAGTTCTCACCTTTGAATAATTTTCTAATAGTTTTTTATAGTCAAGGTAGCTTTTAGATTAGTCCCACAATCAATATGATTACGTGAGACTAGAATATTTTAATTTGAAAATAAGATATTGTTCTAGGTGTGGAATAAAGAACTTGTGTTTAAAGGTCGATAAATATCTCTAATCTGATATCAAATTTGCAAATAAAGTCAATATTTGTTAAATATTTTTGAGGTTTGTTTGATGAAACCCGCTCCGATAAAATATAGTTTAAGTGATTGTAAAGAGTATTAAAATTGTACGCTATTTGAAATGTGATGTAGTGGTATTTATAGATAGATGAGGTATTTTGAAATAAAAAATTGTTCCAACGGAACCTTTTTTTTACTACCGCTTAGGAAGAACTAACGTCCACCTAGGGGTGGGCTCTGGTACTTGTCAATTAAGTTGATGAATGAATTTTTTATGGTAGAGCCGAATGTACCATGCATAGTAGATGAAGATTGTGTTCTATGTAAATAAAGGTAATTGTCCAAGCGTCAAGAAAGATGCGCTAGTAAGGAATAGGATCGTATACTCACATGCTTTTAGGGACTGTTTGGTTGGGGGTATTCATCAAAGGGAATCAACTGCCCTAATTCCCTTTGTTGTTGTTTGTTAGGCTTTTTTTTTTTCCATTCCCTTTACCCTCTCCATTCCCCTAAATCCTTCTAAGTTGAATTGATTCTCCACTCCCCAGGTATTTCTATTCTCATTCCCTAGCCACCACCACACCGCCACCCTCCTACCTACCCACACCACCGGAGAACTCAGCCACCGCAATCCCCAACCACTCGCCGCGCTTCGTCGCCTCTCCCCCCCGCCCCCCCGCAAAACTCTCCCCTCCCCCAAAAAACTTCCCTCAGCCTCGTAGAACCCTAGAAACCCCTCCCCATCCCCGTAAAACCATCGTCCGTCCCACCCCACCCTCGAAACTCTCGCGCTAGGGTTTTGAGTAGGGATGTCAGTGGGGCAGGGATGGGTCTTGGTTTGGCGAGTGGTGGGGCGGGGATGGGGATAAAAACCATACTCGCCATGGGTGATGGGGCGGGGGTAGATTTTGGGCTGTACCCGCCCCATCCCCACCCCATACCCACATCAATATATTTTGAAAAACAAAATTATATACTTTTATAATATTTATAACAAAATTATGTAAAATAAAATAGTAGATATAATAATTTGTACTACACTAATATTATAAACAAAAAAGTGTGTAATATTAACAATTTTTTTTTTTTTTAATCTTAATTATGTAAGATTGTGTATTGAGAGGCGGGGATTAGGTGGGTTTTGGGTGGGGATTAGGTGGGGGTGGATATCCAAGTGGAGGGTGGGATGGGGATGGTTTTGGAATTGTACCCGCTGGAGCGGGGATGGGGATGCAAATTTTTGGTGGGAATGGGGATGGAAAGGCCAACATCCGCCCCGTCCCGTCCCGCCCCATTGACATCCCTAGTTTCGAGGGTGGGGAGAGGGGCAGATGATGATTTTACGAGGGTGGATAGGGGTTTCTAGGGTTTTACGGGGTTGGGGGAGTTTTTCGGGGCAGGGGGGAGTTTTGCGGAGGGAGGGGAGGGGCAAGGGAGAGGTGGCGAAGCGCGACGAGTGGTGGGGGAAGTGCGGTGAATGGTGGGTGGCTGGAAATGTAGGAAGTGAAGGAGATAGGTTATTGTCTAGTGGTGGGACTGGTGGCTTGATTCTCTTTGTTTTTTAGAACAAACAACATAGTAAATTAAAGGGATTTTCATTATTCCTTTATCTTTCTTTTCCTTTATTCATACCATTTCGTTTACCCCATGCAAACCAAACGACCCCTTTGTCTTATTGGTTTGAGCTAGATTAATTGTAATGCCAGTAATGAAAATGTTTTGTTAGACACAATCTTACTAGACATTGAAAATTTTATATTGAAAAAGTATATTAAATGGGCAATAATTAATATTGTAATTAAAATATTAAATGTGTAAGACCTTAACTTTGTAGTAGTGGGGAAAAAAATTAAAGCCTTTTTCAAAATAAGAATTGTAAAATTGTATTGATACAAGAAAAAAAAAAACAAATGAGGTATTAATGTATTATTGGACTATTGGTTAAAAACCAAATGCACACGGGTTCAAATCTCTCATTCCTAATTGTAATTTATATTGTCCTTGTGGCTCATCTAGATAAATGTTAAAGGGGAAAAAAAACTAATTTGGTAAGGAATATCATTTGGTAGTAACTAGTAAGTCCGAAATGATTTAATCACATCAAAAATTGATTTTTGGCACACTGTTATGTGAGAAAAGCATTGAAAATTGTGCTCTCATAATGGATGTGTCAAAACTAATTTTTAATGTGTCTAAATCAGTTTTCCTTATTTTACATACCGATATGTCACTAATATGTTACAGGGTTGTGACTTGTGAGGCTAAGATTTGGCAAACGATCCTTTACATAACTTTGGCCTTTGGGCTAGGGTGCCTAAGGCCTTTTGATGGACATTGTCGACTAAAAGCTTCTTAAATTATACGTAGTAAGTAGTTTGATTGCGATTGTTTCCATCCATGTGGTTATGTACGGTCATACTCGTATTATGTTCATCTCCAAGGTTCTTGAGAATCCTGACTATTTGATAGATTGACTAGTTCCTTAGGTTTGTGTGGATGTTACTTCACATTGACTTCCATACACTGAGATTTTATTGTGAGATTGAGGAATCCTCGGACCATCCATTCTGCCAGTCGGACATGGATGGGATCGCCTTATCTGTGGAATGACTTGCAGTTTGGCCAGCACCAGTGAGGCAGTGATCAACTCTGTCTCTTCCCTAAACTTGATTCCTGGGTTTGCAGGGATACACAGATTAGCTATCTGACCATTGCACAGTTTTCAAGTTCACTTCTTTACTTTCATCAGCTCTTCTAGGAAAGGATACGTTGTAGTTCAGTTATCAAGTTCTCATGCACAGCATCAGCCCCAACTCAGGCCTTCTTGCATAAGTTGCTTATAGATGGCTTTGGTTCGGGAATACATCAAGAGATGAGAAGGGAGAGGAGAAGAGAGGAAGAGGGGGGGGGGGGGGGGGGGGGGGGGGGGGGGGGGGGGGGGGGGGGGGGGGGGAGGGGGGAGGGGAGTAAAGGACTAAAGGTTCTTTCGCAGGGTCTTTCTGAGGTTTCGTATTTTACAGGTTCCGTTATCCAGGTTTTGGTTACTTAAGGAGCTCTGTGAATTGGCTGGCATACATAGATATGTTTCTACTTAATCCAGGGATAGGCTGTGCCCAACATCAAAAGGCCTCAAATGAGATTCAGCCTTTGTTTTTTCGGGTGGGGGAAGGTTTTCCACAAGGACTCACGATATTGCAATGAGCCATATGTTTGGAACAGATTTAATGCCTAGATTTTGATATTACCCTCTAAAAACTTCACCAGTCGAATGCTAGATATGAATTTGCATATTTTGCTGTCATATCAATATGCAAGGAAACGGTGCTTTAAAACGACTAGAGGAACAATTGCACACAAAAAAATTCAAGCACTCAACTATCCGATGTACGGAGCAGTTCATTTCATTCTCATTATAGAAATTGTTTTAAGTTTCGCAAGAAGAGAAGTCTAAGAAGAACACAGCTCTCCATTATGAATGCGATCTTAACAACAAACACGTCAAACAGACATTACCGCAAGAGTACTCAGCTCTCCCAGGTTCCTACAAGTTGCAATTCATGTATATGTAAAACACAGCATAGCACCTTTGCATTCCAAAAGATCTGGTCTAGTCCTGCACATATGGAAAACAGATATTGTAAGTATCAATCAAACGACACAAGAATGCCAACTTACTAAACACATTGATCCTTGGGTTGACCTAGATAATGAACTACACATAGTGATAAAGCTATGTTAAAGATTGAATGAAAGTATACATGTATGAGTTCTTGTTGCATGGAAGCTAACTTACAGTTGTACCCCATCAAAATGAGGGGTTTTCATATAATCCTAAATTGGGAAACAATTAGATACTATGAGCAACAATATATACCACTGAAATGTGACGAGCAAGGTCAAGCATTATAAATAAATGAGGCAACAAACCTGATATGCTACAGAGAAGAATTGAGCAAAGCCAAACAATCAGTAGATCAAATTGAAAAACTTCAACATACCTCATCATCATCATCGTCACTGCCTCCATCTTTCTTTTTCTTCGTAAGGCGAGTTGTACCACCCTCCTTGCTGATGGGCAGTTTCATTTCACCAAAAGGTGTGTCAACATTAATATTTCCTTTCATGCTATAACCAGTTCCTTTCCCTCTAATCATATCCCACAGTGCAGATCCAAATTCCTTGGGCCTGAATGAGACTGGAAGATCCATATAGCTGATACCATTTTGAGGCAAATTTTTAGATTTTTCGAGGTCAGCACCTCCAATGTTGACATGACCTAGCCAAACCTCATAGTCCAGATCCTTAAGACCCAAGTCAAAGTCATTCTTATTCTCTATCTTGAGATGAATGGTTGCAACAGTTTCTTCAAAAGAGAACCTCTTAAACTTTATCTTTTCCACATCTATATCAGGCTTGTAAGGTATTGGGATCTTTCCATGTTTCTCAAGGGGGATAGTGATCCTTCCCAAAACAGGAACATCTATGATGAGATCAACCTTGAGCCTGTAAGGAATAATGCTTCCAGGCTTAATATCTTTATAAGTTTGCTTAATGTCATCATAAATCAGACAGACCGGTATCTTGATAGTCTCAGAGCCATGAGCATGAATGGTCCCAGCATCAGGAATCAGCCCAGAAATCAGCTTCCTTCCCTCACTGTCAATGCAGTAATTTATGTCAACAAGGGGAATCGGAACGGGGTTGGGATTTTTCACAAGAACATCAAGAACAAGCTCTGCCTTGTGAAGGCTGATGTGAGGAATATGAATCCCACTAACATCTGCAGTAGGCTTGCCAAATCCGATTGCTCCCTCTATCTTCTCACCAATATCCTGAATAAAATCCTTCACCTTCTCTATGAATCCACCCTTTTCTTCCTCTTGTTCTTCCTTCTCAGGAGCCTTCTCAGGAGCCTTCTCTCTATACACCCTTTCAGCTATATCCGGCTTATCATCTGATGCCATATCCAAAGAGCAAGAAACTTAACCTGGAAGTCAAAATATTAAATCATCAAAGTCTAAATTTGTAACAATCATCATTCAATAAAACAGATAGAAGTGCTAGTAAGCATCAGACGATAGTACTTATAAAGTATAACTGTCTTACACTACTAAAAGGGTGCAACAACACAACATGGTTTCAACCTTTTGACTGAAGAAAACATCTTTTTTAATAGCCGTGATACATTCTATTATAAAACAGCTTGCACTATGCATTTGATTTTTAAATTTATGAGCAAGGGAACATATACTATCCTGAGATAGTAGTAAGTCACTAGTGCATATCCAATGGGTTAACTTCCCTGAGATAGTAGTAACTCATTAGTCAATATTACTAAGTTGAGATGCCTACAAAAATTAGTCAACTTCCCAGAAATAATAGTAAGTCATTAGTACATATCCAATGGGTTAACTTCTAGAAAACGCTCTTTCTTTGAAAGCGTTATGGATCTAAATTATCATCTCATCTATGTGAATATATCAAGAACAAATAAAGCAGAATTAGCCCGATGCCTGATTAATGCAGGTCTATTTGTTTGATTGTTCACAAGTCAATCTGGGGTGAGAAAAAAAGAGATTACAAGCGTGTGAAATTAATGAAAACATGGGCAATAAACATTAGACATTTACCTCAACTCAAGTCCTTCAACACAATCACACCTAGAACCCCTGAAGTCTGAACCTTATCTAAGGTTTAAACTGATTGGTCTTATGACTACCATATATAAGAGGCGATAGGTATCAGTTCAATTTATATTTTGATGTTATGTTCCATCTAACTTCTACATTCAGACGGGTAGGTGTAATAGAACAAGAAGTCACAAATGACTTACAAGAACTAGACAGCACACTCCCTGCAATCACACTTCCAAAGAATATAGTACAGCTCATTCTGTTTTTCCTCTATATTCAGCGGGTTATGGAGAAAATGTGTTATGTGATGCAACTAGAATTTTGTAAAAGTCCAGAAGATGGCCATAATATTCATCATTGTTACAACAATGTATCATACTGCATGATCTATTTTATAAAGCAAACTTTAAGCTAGGAACAAAACTCTAAATATTTTTAATTATGACAGATGCTTATTCCAATCTCACTAAACAGATATCATTACGTGCTGTACTACATATAACAGCATCGCTGTGCATCCAACATATACACAACCAGAAACAGGATAACAAGAATAAGAGTTTGCAGTACTACACAAAATAATTTACTAGCAGAAAATTTTGGAAAATATCAAATAAAAAATGAATATTCATTTATCATTAGCAGTGGAAAACAATCAAATGTCATTCTAATTTATCTTTATGTAGTAAACGCATCTTTGCCTGAAAATTGACCAATTAGAGCAAATTGAAATTGACCAAAGCAACACATTCGTTTAACAATAACTAAGTTATCAAGATGTAGATGCTAACTAACTTAAGTGGCAAAGTCGTGGGTGTGTATTACTCAAAAACTGGGGTTGAATCCTTATGCATTCATTGGCCTTTTCGGCATCCAATACAACAACTAAAGGGAAGCTCTCTGAGGTTTTCTAGACTTTCAAAAAGGTACTTAGTTTCGCAACTAAGATAAAACATGCTACGATTGATTTCCATAGTTCAATTCTCCACAAGACATCACACAAAAATGTTATTTGAGTTTTTTCAGTCAATATTAAGCTAGCGTTATGTTACTATACATATGAATTACGATTAATGCATAAGTACCACAGTTGTACCTTAACACAGACATTAAGACAATTTATTCCAGACTACAATCATCAAAGTCTACAAAATTATTGCATAAGACTAAATCTAAAAAATCTGATCAAAGGAGAAAATAATTTGCTAAACTACTGGAAATTTACATTAGATCAAGGTTAAATTCAACAATCAAATTGAATCAGTAATTATATGTAAGGAGTCACTTAATTGCAACAAAATGCAGTACACATTCTACACAAAATCAAAATAACACAACTCATTTCAATGGAAATCAAACTAATCATGATTAATATAAACTCAACTTTATTTGTTTAGATTGTATGTATATAATTTTTTCTTATTTAACAAAAAAATTCGTCTGATCAAAAAACAGCAACGACCAAGTTTTGCCTATAAAATCCCATTGTACTGACAAAATTGTAGAACTTTTTATGGGTTTTTCAAATTACAAGATTGCCAGCAAACTTTATTAAAAAGATGATCTAAATAAATATTGAAATTTTCATACATAGAAAACATCGCACGTAGCTTAATTAAGTGTCATAATAGCATGATAAAATGCAGATAATTACAGATCTGATTGAATTATGTAATATCAAATCACATCAAAAATGATCACACCCCAAATAAAATAAAAATAAAAAATCAAATTAATGGGTATATATAAATTTGATTAAATTTACATCACAAATCAGAAAAAATGGAACTTACCCAGAAAAATAGAACTTGAGCAAAATGAATCCTCACTTCTTTTTTTTTCCTTTTTTTTTTAATAATTGTTTTGAATGAAAAACAGAGGACTAAAAATTCTCTCTATAAAAATGACAAAAAGGCTCACCCAAAAAATATAAAATTAAATAAAAGCACACGTAGTATCTGAGATATTATTTAATTTAATTTAATTTAATTGAAAGAATTATCTGAAATTATTTATTACTAAAATGATTGTCCAAATTTCACACATTCGTATTTATTTCTTTGATTTGATATACTGTGAGATGTGGTTAGCCGAGATTTGGTGATTGACGTGCCATGCTCTTGTTTGTTTGCCAAAGACTAAGGAAGAATTTAATTATGGACTTTATTTGTGTATACTTTTATACGTTGTACATATGTTGAAATCATTTAGAAGCCGTATGCATTACACTGATGATTACAAATTACTACTTGAATTTATTTTTCAAAGTATATTTAATGATTGAATGATTTTTTTCATTGAAGAATTATTATGTGAATTTATTTTTCGAAGTGTTGAATGAAATTTATTTTTTCAGTATAAAGTTATTTTAGAAATGAGCTTCTTTTTTTTTTTTCTTGGGGTGGGGGGGGGGGGGGGGGGGGGGAGGGGAGGGGAGGAAGTTAAGTTAGGATTGTTGCTAATTGCATATGGCAATAAGAAAAAATAAACAAAATATTGTTTTTTTAGAGGGGCATGTACCACCACGAGTTCACTTTATCATAAAAAAGGGTTTAGGACTAATCAAGGTTGATATGTCTAATCAAGTGTAAACATTGGTGGAATTCAAAGCTAATGAGTAGATAAAGATCCTATAAAATATAATCAATTTTACAAGTAGTAAACCATAATTACAAATGTTATGAGCATTAATATACAAAAATTGACTTGATTAAAATTGACTAATTTTCAAACGAGTAAATCATGTAATGTTATCCCAGATTGCTTGGTACTTGACAATTGCTGCTTTGACCCCAGGATCAAGTACAATCTCAACCAACATAATCCTTCAAAATTTGTCTCAAGTATTCTTCTTGCTCAACACTTCCTTCGAGTTCTTCCCACTGCAAAGAAACATCACTTGCATCAATAATTCATAAACAGGAAAATCAAGCAGATGATGACCAACAAATCTACTTTGTGCAAGTAATTAGTGAGTAAAATGGCTTCAGTTCAATGATCAAAACAAAAAATTGACTACATCTTGTCATTTGCTGAATGCTAGGTTTATGTGGGAATCTACAGGAAAATTCCAACAGAGATGTTGGTTCAAAAAGACACCGGCTCACCCTCTGTCAATTAGAGATAATCCACTATCTGTAAAACTAAAGTCAGTTCATGATCTATGCAGAGAAGACAGGAGAATGGAAGGGAGGAGATGAACGCAGGACTAAAGCAGTTATGTCTAGCAATGGCGTCTCCATGAAGTATAAAAGAGGTCCAAATGTTTTGGCAGAAATATTAAAAAGCACTCAAGAGATTAGACAATTTTAAATGTTGATTTATGTCAAACTAGTCTCTTTACACATGAAGAAAGAAAAAACAGAGATAGAGTCAGGGACATCACAGTGCTTTCAGTGTTTCAGGAAAAATGGCACAGCTTTTTTCAACTACATTTCACAACAGGCCTCGATACCTAGCAGCTTTTGAGATTACATAGTAGACACTAGGTTCGGTGATACAAGATGGCCACCTATCTTGATCTAGCATCTTAGAAGAGCTTGGTTACCTCATTTGTTAATCAATCAACAATCTTGGATTGCAAGATGAGTTTTGAAAATAAATTGTGTTTCAAACAATTCAAAGACAAAGCAGTGTTTACCTACTGATGGTTTTTCAGATTAACTGACCGAAAATGACTAACAAACCAACACTTGTCAATAGCACATAGTCATATAAGTACAGTAGTCTACTTTGAGTGATTATATCTTTCTCATTACTTAACTGACCTTCCATTCTGAACTCTGAAGACTAATTTATTTCTTATTAAGGATTTAAGGTCAACATGAAGATGACTAAGTTTATTTTCACGATCAGCTATTCAGCAGGTGATGTGGCTTAGGACACAGGATAGCCATATTCAACTTGTTTGCCAAATATTCGTTACAGAGAAATACTTCCCAAGTCATAAAACGGTGAGGCACATAGGCCTGTTCTGTTGGACTGATTTTCAGTTCAATTCAAAAACTGAGATCACAGTAAGGAAGAATTATTAGGTCATTCGAACCAAATAGAACATGTCATAGAAATATTTCAGGAGACTCACTTCTTGATGAGGAACTGACACAGGATTCCAACCAGAAGCAGCAACATATCGCCGTTTCAACACAGTATTTCCAAGAGGGACTCCTGCAAACTCAAGTATGTTAAGAATCATACAGACAAATATACAGAATTACAGACAAAAAAAATTACTCGGAAGAAAACATGCATGGAATTTTGTATGGAGAACGAGAATCTTAACCTGAATTTCTGGAGAAATGAGTAGGTCCATCAATTTCAAGAGCCACTTTCTTGTCAATTAAGGCTGCATCTAATGTGTACACATCCAATTCATATTCTCTCACCCATTCAAGCCCAGTGCTGAAAAGTAAACGAGCAACCTCTTTTTGGAATGATGACGTAACCTTTTGATTAAATCTCCTAGTTCTCCCAGCACGAGCAATCTTCTCCTCGACATCACTCCTTAAAGAGAGCTGAAGATGAGAGTACTCAACTTTCAAGCACTGATTTGCCAAATAGACTTGAGATGCAAACATAACATCCTCCCTGTACTGATCTGTAATTCTTTCTTCCTCAAAATTTTGCAGAGTTTTCCACACATTAAAAAAGAAATTGCGGTTCATCTCACCAAGAACAGCATAAGACCAAGCTATATTTCCAAGCTGGTCCCTATTAAATCTAAGGATAAGAGGATTCGAACCTACAGAATTAGCAATTTCAGCTTCATCATGACTTAATGAACCCCTAATTGATCTGCATTGAAACTGATCTTGATCCTTATACATATTGTCTAAAGCTTCAAGCAAATGATCAGCTGGTTCATTTAAGAAAGCGAAAGCCCACAGCAATTGAGCAAGCTCTTGCGGATGAAAAGTATGAATTATCTCAGAAGCTCTCTTAGACAACTCTACAAAGAGATCTGGTGCAGAGTGTCTCATTGAGGCAAATGCACCAGCAACATTAGCCACATTTTGGGAATTAAACTCGCCAACTTTGGCCATGGAAATCTCTGCAACTCTATCCATTTCCGTCATATACAGAAGGTCACCTCCAATCTTGGACAACGCCCATGCAATATTCGAAATACCTTGTGCTGAGCACTCTGGCAATGCAGTCATCGCAATACCAATAAGCATAGACATCTCCCTTTGACGGGCAAAGGCCAACCTTCGAGTTTCCATCATCGACACTTTCTCCATGTTCTTAGCAATCCTATGAATAGCAGTAGCTAAATTCAACGGAGAGAGCGGGGAAGGACTCAAGCCTTTTCCAACAGAAACAATCATCTCAGAAACCACCTCCAACACCTCTTGTGCTGTTTGGGCATCTACAACCATTCTATTTAAATTAACCTCTTTTTTCCGGTCAGACGGCTGACCACTAAACTGTGACAACCTCTGAATAAATGTCTCCATTGTTTCCTTCTTTTTCTCCTCAAACATCCCATCCCCAAGCATACCAACCGCACTGCGTAGGTGATCCACATTATCTACAGGGCTCACATCATCCTCATCATCAGAATCAAAATCAAAGTCCTCCTCATCTACCTTAACTTTCTTGTCTATTATCTTCTTATTTTTCTTATTCTTTTTCTTCTTTTTCACCTTTCGACTAACCATATTCTCCATTACTCGCGCCATCCCTCTATCCTCAATCGATTTCAATGCAACTTTCCTTGCCCTCACACACCAATCCATACTATCTGAATCCCCCAACAACCTCGATTTCCCCGGTTTCTTCTTTTCGAGGGGTTTGGAACCTAAAGGGCGGCGTTTCCCTAAAAATTCAAGTTTCCAATCATCTACTTCAGGCTCTTGTTGCTTCTCATCTATAGCCTTAACAGCAAAAACACCAATTTTCCTAAAACCCTCATAATTTCTACCAAAACACCCAATTTCCACCTTTCTATCCAAAACTCCATTTCTTATTCTACCCAACTTTGAACTAGATTTCTCATTCAAAAACAAGGGTTTTAAACATGTTTCACCATAAAATCCACTTGATAATACATCCATTTCTACCTTATCTATATTACAAAATTGGAACTTTTGGCAGAAAAAGTCACTCTTATGATTATAATTGAACAGTTCTATAATGGAATATATCAAAATTTGAATAAAACTGGTTCTTGATTATAGAAGAAAGATAAAAGAGATAGATAAGAATAAGAAATGGGGACTTACACAATATTTTCAAATTTGTCAGTCTGAAAGATATTTGAAATTTGGGCAACAGAATTTCAGTTTCACCCGCGAACAGGATAGAGGAGAACTGGACTACTGGAGAGAGTGGAACTACTGTAGAAGATAGGACTGCAGGCACACAGGCAGGTTGGGTGATAATACGGAGTACCTCATAAATTATTCCAGCCGTTTCATAATTTTCACGACATTTTTCTTTTTCATCCGTTTTATAATAATTACAACACTTCCTTATTTCATAAGGACCCACAACTATTTTATTATTTCTCTCCTACCTATCCCACTTACAGTCTTACACTATTTTTTTTTTGTTATTTCTCTTTCCTAACAGTAAATATATCTTCATTAACTATACTTTATATTAACTAGGGTGGCCTACGCGATCGCGCGCGGAAGGGTTACCTCTTGCAGAGAAGTTGTATTGGCGTTTGTTTACACATTTGGTTTAGGTAGTAGTTTTAATACGTACTATTTGGTTTATGTGCCTATGTGCTGGCTTTTGTAGAAGGGATTGAAAGTTACCAAAATCTTTTATGATGATTATTTTTAAAAACCCTTGAAAGCTTGACAGTATTATTCCAAAATTATTATTAAATATCATTTAATTGATTTGCATCCCTTCATATCATATTATTATCCCTTCATATCTTAAGTGGCATTTGTTAGTTTTCTTAATTAATTTGTATGTTTCAATAATACTTAGTATAATATTTCCAGCGTGGTTTTCATCAAATGAATTTTTTGGGAGCTTAGGTTATACGGAGTAATAATATGTGAAATGTTGCAGCTAAAAACTAAATAATGTAAGTTCTTTAATGTTCTACGACCATCTAACATCTATATTTAATACTAAAGCAACAACCACTTAGTTATATTTTCCCTCTTAAATCTCTTCATTTTCTCTCCCATAATTAATACTAGCCTTTTTTTTTTCTATAATCGATTTTCCTTGATTTTAGGATTTATAAATTCTTTATACCTCTTGATAACATCCGCTCAAATATCACTATTTAATATGAATCCCATTCACAATTCCATAACGTTGTTTATGTGGCATGAAACAATGTACATTTCAAAAAAGCTAATAAACCTTAACAATAGTTAAAGTTAAAGGACGACAAGATTGTAAATAAGAAGAGCAATCACAAAGAAATAAACAGTCTCTTGGTAATAAAAACAGTCTCTTCGAACATACATTTCTTTTTCTTTTTCATAATATTAATAATATCATATGAAGTATAAGATGAATTAAAAAAAATAGAGCATTACAAGTTTTTTGTTATAAAAAAAATATTTGAATTAATTGATGATATGTATAATGACAAAACATTAAATATATTAATGAGGGTAAAAATGTCTAAACACATTTTTGTACATATTTTTATACACATTTTTTAGGGTATAGTATATAGCACACTATTTCTAAGAGTTATCTTATACTTTTTATAAGATAGGGAAGAATTCTCTTTTCAGTCCCCACCCTATACTTTTCCTAGAACTTAGTGTCAACCCTACTATAGCGATTATTACAAAATAGAGGGAGTACCTTAAAGCGATATTGCAGCTAGGGTGTCAATTAAGGTAACAGGATGAAGTTTGGGTTGACCCACAACGAGTCAGGTCTATTCGGGTCAGGATTAACCTTTTAACCCACCTCATTTTGGGTCAGGTCAAGATCTGTCGAGTCAGGATCGGGTTTGGGCCGGATCATATTTATATCGATTGGGATAAAATTGTATCGGGTTCAAAAATGAGTTTAACCAGGTTAATTTCGGGTTGATGACTTTGGATCGGGTTGATTTTGGTTTAATTGATTTCAGTTTAGTTAAGTTCAATTCAATTTGATTAGAATAAGATTGATTCAATATTGCATGGATTTGGGTCTAGTTAAATTCAATATTCAAATAAAGTAATTTTTAAACTAGAGTAATTATTGATTTATTACCTTATTATTGGGTCACTATCAGGTCATTCATGTGTCATTTTTCATATTGTGTCATTAACAATCAAGGAGTATTGGTTTTCTCATTAGACCAGTTCTTGTGTCATTATCTTTAAGCCAAATTAAAATCAAATTGTCGATTACTTATATTACTTACCTAAGTGAGACGATAAGTAATAAACTAATGACATATTGATTGATGAAAGCCACAGGTTAATAAAATTGAACTTGAGTATAGTAAAATATCAAATTGATAAAATTGAAATAATATATATTTTATTTTTTTGCATTACGCCATTAAAAATTAAAATTGTTACTCCTTCCGTGATTTAGTAAGTGTTACAGTTTGACCGACACATAATTTTAGCAAATTAATTGACTTAAATAAAATAAGAGGTAAGTGGGGGTAGTAGTAGTATTAAAAATTGAAAAAAGAAAGATAATGGGGTTAATAATTTATTAAAAAGTAATGAATGTGAGAGGAAAGAAATAATAATAATAAAAAAAAGTAGTAGTGAGTTTGGATGGGAACCATAAAAGGAGAAATATATAATATTAAAATGTAGCTTTTTGTCAAAAAAGAAAGTGTAATACTTATTAAAACACAGCCGCGTTTAGGGTTGTTCATTGGTCCAATTAAGCTAGGACCGAACCCAGATCGTACTGAAAAAATGGTCCAAAACCCGGACCGAACCGGTTTGGACCGATTTTAGAATTTTTATAAAAAAATTTCCTACTCCCTCCGTTTTTAAATACTTGTTCCATTTATTTTTTGCACTATTTATTTGTCCTACTTTGACTAATGTTTGTGATTTATACATAAGAAAAAATATAGTACTGTGGGTACTTGTTGGAATCGTCTCAACAAATAGATTATTAATTTTCAATTGTTAGAATTTATAATTATTGATAATTAAAGATATTATTGAACAAAGATTAGCATCGGCATACATTCCCACGAAAAATGGAGCAAATATTTAAAAACGGAGGGAGTAAATTTTAAATAAATTATGGAAAACTTGAAAATAAATAAAGGAAAAACAATATTTTAACGTCTTTTTTTGTACGTTTATTACAAAAAACTCATACGACTAAAGTTTTCCAATTAAGCTTGTTAAAGATAGTCTTAATTATTATTAAGGGTTTTATGTATAATTTTAAGAAAAAAATTGATCCGGTCCAAGACCAATTTCTATAGGGTTTTTGACCGGAGCGGACCGAAGACCTTAAAAATAAATTTCTTGACCCGGAGACCGAACCAATTAATTTGGTCTGGTCCGGTCCGGACCAATTTTTGAACACCCCTAGCCACATTTGGTAATTGTAACACATATTAAAACACGGGTATCACTACTCAATACTCACCCTTCAAAAAAATGTTCTTACACAATTAATGAAACATACAATTACATGAATTGAAGTAATTATGAGTACTTCAAGTATTAAAGACGAAAATAAATGAGGTTATTTTGGTCATTTCATGACATCAATAAATAGTAAAAAAAGAAATTGTTAGTATCATTTAGGAACACTACCTAAAAAGGAATATCATAACTATATTTAGGGACGGAGGAGTATTATATCTTCCTCTTTTCATAGTTCCCTCACATACTATCATCATCCTCATTATTATTATTATTATTATTATTATTATTATTGTTATTGTTATTATTATTATTATTATTATTATTATTATTATTATAGAAAAATAACAAAAACCTACAAAGTCAATCGATTTATAAGAAATTAGTGGGGAGCCGAGATACAATCTGAGCCCCCACCCCTCTAGCTATAGAGAACCCGATCCTGTTGAAAATGTGAGCAGCTGCACGAGCACCATTATCCTGAATCCTAGCGAACGCCTGAACCCACTTCAACAACGCAACAACATCCTTCTCTAATTCCCCCAATGAAGAAAAGGATCGGAGAAAGGAAGAAACCATAGCTAATAGCCTTGCAACGCGCCCCATACTTGTCCCGCTTTCGCTGAGCCGCAGCCGACATAACACGACCAGGAACGAAGTTAGACAGCCTAAATTGAGTCAAAGGAGAAGACCCCATCAAGTCAACACATACATCAAGGCCTCTATCCCAGGAATAAAGCAACACATCTGCAGGTCGAAGAGCCCCGTCGTTCCCTCTTGTCAACCCAACGTTACCCTCCTTTCTTGTAGAAATCCCAGGGCGGAAACAAATATCAACAAGGGTATCACGAACAACGTTGTGCCGATGTTTAATACCCACCATCCCAGCACAAGACACTGCATGATCCCATAAAGATCCCCGTCAAAAACCACTGCATGATCCCCATAAGCTTGATAAGAATTATTCGTGTTCAAATTATCTCGAGCTTGAATGAGCTTAAGAAATCTTGTTCGAGCTGGGCTCGTTAAAAATTTGGCTTGTTCGAGCTTTGTTCACAAACGTACTCGTTTACATTTCGGGTTTAAGTTCAAGCTTGAACGGATATAAATCGAGCTTGATTAAATAAACGAGCCCTAATTTATCATTAAAAAAATGGTTTCTTTCAAATTTTAACACATCTATTTAATTTTATATAAGATGTTTTTATTCTTTCTATAGAAAAAGGTAATGACGGAGTTTTCATGCCTTAACATAATGAAATAATTAATACTTCTTACAAAAATATGTATGAATAAAAGATATACTCCCTCCGTCCCATAATACATGAGACGTTGGACTTTTTTTTTCACTATTTATGCTTTAGGTTTGACCATAATTTTTTACTAACATAATAAAAATATATTTTATCATAAAATATGTTGTTAGATAGGTTTTAATATAAAGTTTCATAATATAATTTTAAAAATAATTTTCATTAATATCAATCAATCAATAACTATATACTAAAAGACACACCAACAATGACACGTGTCATCTCCTGGTGTGTCTTTAGATTTTTTTTTTTTTTTTTTTGAAAAAAAATTTATTTAAGAAACAAATCTTTTTTTACCTGTATAAAGTAATAATTACATAAAATTATACAAAGTATAATTGAAGATAAGATTTGATGTATCTTTCCAAAAAAAATATTGACAAGTGACAGCTATAAACTTAAGCAGAATAAATAAATAAATAAATATTCTTAACATAATTTGTGATTTATGGACTATTTTTTTTAGGAAAGACATATTATATATGTCTACATATGTTTACTACAACAAGATTATATATTTTTTTTTCTTGATTGAATTTTTTTAATTATGTAATAGAAGCTACAAGCATAAACAATGAAATGCAAATATCAAATCAACAAGTGATACTTTTGTTATTTCTTTGAATAATTTATGATTAGAATTTCAATCAATTAATAATTTATGGATACTTCAATAATACTTAGCTTGCCAAGGATGACACATGTTGATTATTCTTAGTGTGATTATTTCTAACCATTTTTGTTGTTCTTCAGCATTCAATTGATATGAATATAACACACGGAAAAGTCAAAAAATTAAACATATTGTTAATTATAAATATAGTTATTGAAAATAATCGTGCATGACATGAGACCTAACCTAGTTTAATTATATAAAAATAGAGTCAAACTAGTGCATTGGCATGTGTGCAATGTTTGACTGTGTCATGTATTATGGGACAGAGAGAGTATTAATTGTCTGAGTTTTAATTGGCGGTGAAAAACTTATAAATAGACTTAAACGAGCTGTTCATGAACGTTACCAAGTCAAACATGATGTTGTTCGAGTTTTGTTCATCTATTTGACGAGCTTAAGATTTTTGTTCAAGCTTGTTCGTTAGCTTAACAAAGGAGTTTTGACCAAGTTTATTTGCGAATAGTTCACGAACATATCTTCTCATTTATACCCCTAGATTTGGTTTATTAAAAGGGGAAGAAAAATGGATCCTTCCAATTCCCTTCCCTTCCCTTCTCTCCTTACATTAGGTATCCAATTAAAGTATAAGACATCCTTTCTTTTCTCTTCTCCTCCTTTTCTTCCATTTCTCTCTATCCAAACGTAGTGTTAACAACTTAACATGGAAAATCATGTTGGTTGGGACGAGCTTGTATAAGTAGAAAGAACGCGAACAAACGTGCGCCTATCTAAATTGCAAAAATAACGGGCACATTATTCCCAGGAACTTTATTGAATTGGTTTTGTAAGAACAATAATAAGCAAACTCAATTATTTTCATTCCGTAAGTGAGTATTAGGTAGACTAATTTTGTTTATTTGAAATATACATGGTCGATCCTTTTCATCAATTTTCACTAGCTTTTTGATAATGTATGATATTCTGTTTGTCAATAATGTATAGTGTTTAAAGAGTATAATAGTACTCACGTGAATACATGCATGATGATTTGAAAATAATTGAGTTTATTGCGTTAAAAAAGGTGAGGGATGATGACTAATAATACAAGAGTCTATTGTGCTATTTTATTGACTAATAGTAGCCATTATTGATTTTAATAATTGTACATAATCTTACTAGAATTATTATATACGTCATATTTATTTGGCATATTAAAGAGCTACAAATTAAAGAGAAATGATCAGGTGATGAAACTCAATTCCTACTACCTACCTTTAAGAATTTAACCTACTAATAAGATAATTGACATTCTCATTATATCATCTTGTTACACTATTGTAGAAGATAAACACGGTAGTAATTTAAGTGTAAGTGTAATTAAAGAAATTCTCTCACTTTTATATAATATTATGGGAACACGAGGGTAGCTTTTTTTTTTTTTTTTTTTTTTTTTTTAGAGAGCCACTAATGCGAGGATGAGAATCGATCCCATGATCTCCTAAAATCGGGTGAGAAGCTTAAACTACTTGAGCTACCCCTCACTCTCAACGCCAAGGTAGTTTTGCTCTCAAGATATTTATACAAAGGACATAAGCGTAATCTCTATATTATAAGATAAGTTAGGTTAACTTAAGGAGCAATCCAACTAACCCTAAAACACCCTATGGCCGACGACAGTATATCTTTAATGGGCTAGTGTGAGATTAATGATGTTTGCGATCAAAAGATCTACATCGATATACATAAATAAGACTAATATCATGAAACGGGGGAGAATAGTTTTGTATAATTTTTAATTTTTTAAATAATAAGATAATTATTAGATTTTTATATAATTTAAATTTTAATTGATCACTATCCGTTGTTTTTATGCAAAATTCTTAAATCTCATTAATCACTTTTACTTAGGTGCCGAGTGAAACTTTTTAATTCTAAAATAAAATACAAATCTAATTTTTAATTGGCCTAAATAATGCCATTGCTTATGTGGCGCGCCGAATACTTTAAAAAAATGCCTACTTTATATATATATATATATATATATATATATATATATATATATATATATATAAATGTGGTACTAATTTGGCATTGCATGTCAAAATCACTCATCGATCGGTGTAATTAATGTTTATTTTAATTTAATTTTTCTACTTTTAGTTATCCTATCTAACGCCCACGGTGCGTTCATTAGCTTTTGCCTATTTATGATTTGTACTTAGTAATTGCTCAACTTGATCGAAAGAGATTTACTCCTAAATTAATTTCATCGGCCTAGCTAGTTTGTTTCTTTAATACATGTGTTGAGCCATATTGAAGGTTATTATAAATAATTACGAAGTAATTAATTGGAATTAATTATTGAGCACCTTAATAATTGTATTTATCTATCTATGGTGGAAGACACCTTTATAGTGAAGGCAGTGGAATCCTCGTCGAGGGGATGTTAGGATTAATTCCTACTAGATACTTTAATCTTCATATCAAATTAATTGGTAAATCTTAATTGAGGAAGCGTACCTGATTTCATGACAATTGATTGAGCCCCTTCTTGATTATGCGCCTTCTAGTAGATACACACTATAGGATTTTCTCCCTATTGATATTGTATGTACTACTAGGGACCATAACCCTAGATGTCTATTTATATAGACCCCCTTCCCTAATCTGCCCATCATGCATTAGAAAAGGTTCAACGGTCTCTATACTAATTATTTATGGCTAGACTCTAGTCTAGGCATCATCCCCTACACCCCTCTCTAAACACATCGTTTAACACCCCTTCCCCCATCTACCTACTTTCATAGTTTCTGCAGTACTATACCCTCACAAAATGCAGCATACTATTACTCCCTAAAATCCTAAAAAAATTTCAGCAACTTCCTCTACCCCACAAATATATATACCCAAAAAAAAAAAAAAAAAAAAAAACATCTTGTTCTCTCTTTATTTTCCCTCTCCATTATCTCTCTCATCTAAGCTTTAAAACTTCAACCATGGCGGACATTAGAGACGAAGTCAAACAGCCGAAGCAAATTTCACCGAAAAAAAGTAGCGAAAATCAAAAGAGTAAGTATAAATGTTCATATAAATTTATTTTTTTTAAAAAAAAAAAAAAAAAAAAAAAAACTAATTTTTTGAGAATTTATTTGTGATTGTGTTTCAGGAAACAAATTGATAGTTTAATAACTGAAAATGTATATATGTAAGTATTTATGTTAATAATTCATCAATTTCAAAGTGATTATTTCGAATAATTAGTAAAATTAACATCTACTTGCTTCAATTTCATTTTTCAGTTTGGAGAAATCTATTTCAGAGAACAGAAACAACGATTCTTAAAAAATGTAAGTATATTACTCAAACTTCTTAAATTTACAAGAATTTATTAAAAAAAATTTATTAAATGGTTTATAATGTAAAATTTGAGATGATGGTGAAACACCTCTACAAAAAAAACCGGCGAACAAAAATCTCCTATTGTAGATCCAACACTTTCAAAGATATACAAGCGTTAAGGCTGCAGATGTAAAAATAGTGTCTCGGATGCTTAGGTAAAATGAACAATTATAAAGCACTATATGTTCATTTTCATATCATATTATGAAAATATTCACATGTTTACCTATAATTACATGTTAATATGTATTTATTAACATATTCAGATTTGATTTTTTTTTTTTAAATATGTGTTATTGATTTGTATAAAACATTATGAACGCATGCATACAAAACTTGGTAATACATTCAAATGTTTTTTTAATAGTTTATATATGTGCATTTACATTTATTAATATGTTCATTATTTTTAAATATTATGAGCATTTTTACATACATATATGAACATTTTTAAATGCATAATAAACAAAGCTAGATTATAGTTTTATACCATTTTAAGTGAAACATTTGATGGAATTTAGAGATGGATATGTTATTCATATTTTATAATTCATATATGAGCATCTACCTGTAAAAAAATATGCCATTTATATTAAAAAATAATGTTCATTTGTAGATACATATATGAACATATATGAAATACATACTGAACCTTTTTTTTTTCTTCATATAAATTGATATAATCTATATTGTAGTGATGTGTCATTTAAAGTGGCAATGAGGATTACACAAATTGTGAAGTTTACATTATGAAACACATGGAAACATTCACTGGTGATCAAAATAAAAAATGGATTTGTGACTTAAACCCAAACAATGTAAGTCCATCAAATGATCATTTACTTAAAATATATCGTTCATTTATATATTATTAAATAACAATTAATATTATATTATATATTCATTTTTATCAACAGGTAGACCAAATCAGGAAGCTGAGGATGCAATACACAACTCAACTAATGCTTTTGAAGAAAACACTGAATGTAGGATCAACAAAAGATTATCAAGAAAAATTACAAAAGAGTAGTATTACATGTTCATTTATAAATTTATATATGTTCATTTATACAAAGATATATGTTCTTATATGTGTTCAATAGAACTTATAGATTTTACTCGCTTAAGAGTCTTTATTTGGTATTTCTATTTTTTTTAATAGAATTTGATATTTCTTTTTTTAATATTGTATGTTAAATAGCTAGTATTTCTTTTTTTAACATATTTAACAACTCGGTGTTTTGTATCTATGAAATGTTCATTTGCAAATAATTTACATCACTAACAATATTAAGGTTGAAAGAAAACATTGCTTAATAGAAACAAAACCTTAGATCCATTACATGATAAAAATATAAAATGCAGTCTCATGAAAGTAGTAATTTAAAAGCTATGGTTTCCTAATGTACTCCCTCATTTACCATTACTAGTGAACCTCTTAGCTACATTTGTATCAAAAAAGACTAAGAACTTATCATACTTAATAGAAGTATGTCCTAAACCACCTCGAACACTTCTTAGAACTAACACTAGTAGTAGCTTGAACAGTTCTTGAAACACTTGTAGTAGCTTGAACATTTGTTGAAGCACTAGCTAGAAGCAGCGTGAACATTCCTTGAAACAATAAGAGTATCTTGAGCATTTCTACTATCGGCTGCAATAATTATAATAAACAAATATAATATCAATAATGTTCAATTATATTATTATTATATTAAAAAACATATATATCTACATAAATGATTATTTATCATTACATAACTGAACATCTTTATAACTCTACACATTAACATATAATAAAATTTGTTCACTATTTAAAAGGCATATGAACAAATACAAACCAATGATTATCATTAAAATAGACATATACACATATATATTGAAAATACAACAAAATTAACATAAAATTGATTACTGAACATAAATATATAACATAAATGATCATTTACTATTACAAAAGTGTACAACATTATAATTAATTATAAATGTACCAATACAACACAGAAAAATGATTAAAACAATCCAATAACAAAAATTATGAAACTATCAATGTTCATGTAATGCACATAACAGGAATTAAAAAAATAGAAATTAAAATAGAAACTAGACAAGATCAATAACAAGAAAATAAAATTAAATAATAAAGTTCGGTTCCAAAGTATAAAATAAGATCAATAAAACGATATAAGAAATAACAAGGCAAAAGCTAATGAGCGCCCCCGGGGCGTTAGATAAGAGAATTAAAGTGCAAATATTAGAGTAAAATTAACATTAATTGCACCGAACGACGCATGATTTTGTCATGAATTCCTAACTTAATACTATTTCAACCAATATAATTTAACCTTATCTAACGCCCCGGGGCGCTCGTTAGCAAGATCCTAATAACAAAAGGTTAAAGATATTCTTATAAATATTAGAGCCATTTGAGCATTTATAGGAATTTTTACATTTTTGGAAGATAATGGGAGGAAGTTGAGCACTCGATCTTTTGAACACTAGTAGCAACTTGATTATTTGCTTGACCATATAATTGGAATTTGAACACATTTCATAAACTTCATCAGCAGTTTTAAATTGTTTCGTTCCCCACTAACTCAGACTTACTTGCTTCTTCAAAAATAATAATATCCTTTTTTCCCACTGCAATAATGTAACATGTAATAAATTACATTAGCAATAATGTTCAATTATAATGATGCATTTGGTCAATTACAGTTGAATTACCAAATGTAAAACATAAATGATCATCTATCGTCATATAACTGAACATTATTTCTGAAACTACAAAATAGTGATAATCATTAAAAAAAGTCACATGTACAACATATAATTCCATAAACACAAGTATATATATAAATGAACATTTATAATTACATAAATGAACATTATTACAACAGAACAAATATAAAATATATTCACTAGTTAAAATGTATATGAGCATTTATAAAACAATGAAAATAATTGAAATTCACATGTACAACATAAGTATTCAAATACAACTACAATAAACATATACAAGTATTTTAATACATAAAAAATACATTAAATATAAATGAACATTTACTGTTACAGAAGTGATCATTATTTTAACTAAGATTATTTTTTTACGACGCACAAAACTGGTAAAAATAATCGAATAGCAAAATTAAAACAACAATATATACTCATACGAAACGCACAAAACTGGAATAAACAACAATCAAAAATACAAAAAAAAAACCCCGAATTAGATGAACAATACAAACTAAATTATTAATCAACTAATAACAACAATAACAAAACCAAAGCATTATCAAAATTAAAGTCAATACAACAAAAACTATGAAATCAGATCATTATAATCATCCAATTACAATTGTAAAACAAAGCATTATCAAAACAATTGACTAATTATCATTAAAAGTAAGAATTACTTATATTGATCTCCATGAAAGAAGAGAGAGAAAATTGAAAAACAATAAATCAAAAAAAAAACCAGGAGAGAGAAAATGAAATTGGTGAAAAAGAGGAGAGAGAAAATGAAATTGGTGAAAGAAATGAGAGAGAAAATGAAGTCTATAAAAATGTTTATATACAGTACTTATTTGAATGGAAGGTAAAGAAGGGAAGGAAAAAAAATTATGCAAAAGTAGCTGCTTGATAAAACGACGTAGTATAGAAAGGGGGTGTAGGGAAAGCTACATACACTAGAGTCTAGTTAAAAATTTGTAGTCTCTATACATAAAACTAAACCCATACTCTATAAAAAAAGCCCAACAATAATAATTACTTAAATGGATCACTTTAATTTTGGGCTAAATTATATGATAGCGTATAAATACAATCATAACTGTATAATCCACATACATTATTATATTTAGGTCCATAAATTTATTACAGGGGATGGAGTAGGATTTACTTAATCATTTGTTGATTTCATGGTTCACCACTTTTATTAATAAAATGATATCTTTCAATTTTCAATATAGGATATATTTTAAAATCTAATGTTAATTATTAGAGCAGTTGAGCGAATCAATTATACCAAAAAATAAAGATTGCATAACAGTACTCTATTCGGCCCTTTTTGTTTTCTCGCATATTCCACTATTCCTATATGGGTGTCTCATTGTGATTGTTTCAATGTCATTTATGTCGATTTCTCTCTCAATCTCATCGTCAACCTGGTCTAGACTATTTGCAATCTCATGTGCAAAATTTTGTCACACTTTTTAATTAATTAAATCAAAGTAAATTTAGTTCTATGGAGCCATATAAAAGGAATAGAGGAAGTATACATTTGGAAATATTTCCTCCGTTTTTTTAACAATTGCAAGTCACACTTTTAACGGTATTTAAGTAAAGTGGGACTCACATGACTTAATACGAGTACAATTTAAATGAGGTTGAAATAGTGTTAGGAGTGTTAAAGAACCAACCCAACCAAAAGCTTAACCAGATGGTTGAGGCCAAGCAATTTGTTTTATATTTTATCACGCCCCTTCACACAAGAGTTTTTTGGGCTTGAAGTGTGGATGCGGCATGGGCCCTCCTCATACCCAGTGCGAAATATTCCACGGGGTGGATGAGATTTGAACTCGTGATCTTTTGTGTCACGCAGGCTCCGATACCAAGTTAAAGGACTAACTCAACCAAAAGTTTAAACTGATGAATGAGGCCCAGGAATATGTTTTATAATCTATCAAGTAGTGTAATAACTAGTATAATACCCACGCAATTACACGAATTAAAAATCTCACGAAATTAATCTCTCCCGAAATTTAAAATTCCATTTTATTTAATGAGTATTAATGTATTCTTTAATGTTAATTGATTGTTTATTAGTATGTTACAATAACATATCAACCCTATAAAGTAATATAAGTATAATATTCTTGTTCTAACCAATCACTCCTCAACTATCTATATATCAATACAACATTACTGCTACGTAAATAG